GGAATTCTACGGGTACAAGAAGGAGTGCCGGCTCCAGCCGGCACTCGACAGGGAATTACTAGTTTTTTTTAGAAACAATTAAAATTAAAAGCTGAATTTTTAAAATCTATTATTTCGAAATTCGTCTACTTTTCTTGACAACAAGTGATTAAGTACATTATAACTCTCTGGGATGTCATTCAACTACCAAATATCAAAAATAACTAAGGTAGAGTTTCCACTTTTCACCATGAAAATAATGTTGAAAAAGTGGAATTTTCATTAAATAAGTATCGCAGTCGAAGGGAAAAACAGAGTAGGGTGAATATGATAATCCTTAAAACGAAAAATTCTTCTCGTAATTTGGCTTAAATTCGTTCTAGTTCTAATGTTTTATCAGAATCGCTTTTCTCCGAAATAAACAAAACATCGGCACGAATGAGAATGAAGAGAAACAGTAATAAGTTGAACAAGCAATTAAGAAACAATTTTGATCTTTATGTCAGCTGTAGGAAGGAATGTTGTTGCTTCCCACTATACTAACGTTGATTTATTACTGGCTTGCGAATGAATTCCAATGATTTCTATTGTTCATGAACTTAAGAATTTAAGTTGGTACGGACATGAGCCCGGCAAGCTGAAGACGTGGGTTCGATTCCCGCTGGAAACATAAAATGAAAGATACATTTTTGCAATTCTTCTACTAAAGGTTTTCACCTCCAATTAAGAATTTAACTTTACTGTATCAACGATGTGTCAGTGATACTTTTTCCTAAAATCTTAAGGTCAATAAGGGACAGTATTTAAGCTAAATATTTATCAAGTATTTAACAAGTGGTCCTAGGGTTGGCAGAATTAATGTCTAATTTATCTACTCGTTTGAATCCTCTAAGGTAAGGTATTAACATTTTTATGTTACTCGTTCCTCATTAATTCACTTCCACCAGTATCAGTAATTAATTTTGATGTAGTTTTATAAGCACTCATTCAACTCACACGCACTCTTATCTTTCGAAGAAAAATGACCTCGATGAACAAACGCAAATAATCATTATCTAAATTGCGCAATTAGAACTTTACTTCTACTTTTTCCTTCTAATATCCTTTCGACAATTCTTAAATGAGATTAAATGAAATGCGTGACTTCGGCTGATATAGTGCTTGTAATATCAACAAACTTTATTCACAATAAACCAACTTGTATGATATAAAGTGCTTCATGTGAAGTTCATTTGTCTAATAAAATTTTTCATCTACATACATACATCATTTTTTTATTAACCTACGTATTCATCATTAAACTTTATGTTCATAACTTTTTTTCTCTTTGAAATTTTAATTACTTTTGTTGCGTTCATTAAAACAAGTTCTGTATTCCCCTTTCGAGTGAAATTATTCGTCTATGATGAGGTCATCCTTCTAGTCGGGACTAAAAGTAACTTTTTTAGAAACTATTGGAAACACAATTATTTTCACTTTTAATAATTTATTTTCATTCTCATTAGTATTTTGTTTGACACATGTAGGTAATTATGAGTGCCGTTGCAAGAAGTGAAACTGCTTAAATACTAAAATCTCTGCCTTTTATTATTGGTTCGAGATCTAATTGCTGCACTACGATCATCCCCAGTGGGAATTCCCCACTTCCTTCAAAATGGATGATCGACGTTAAAATAGTTCAGGTTGATGGAATCTATAACTTGCATTTATTTCTCAAAAGAATCTTAAAATGTCTTATCATGTTAAGAAAGGAAAAAAACTCTCAAACAACTATCATTTAAAATTGATTTGAAATTTCTAGAAAAAAAATTAAATGATTTTGAGTCTTATGAATAATTTGAATAATTTGAATATCTGTATAAGACTAAATTTCGCAAGTCAATTTATTTAGTTTCTTCTGAAGAAAATTATTTAAATATTTTACAATCAATTTGATATTCAACTACCTAACTTAAGAAATTAGATTATGTCTCGTTTTTATTAATACTCATAATAAATTTGTGGACAATGTTGGTGATATTTTCGCTGCCGTCAACCATATGTATAACTGGGGTAATTCATCAAACAAACATGAAACCAGATAAATGGAAATGGAATTTAAATCTGCACATCTTGTTTCTACTTACAGTCTAACTCTTACAACAAAACTGTATTGATATTGATGAGCAAAACGTAAAAAGTTGAAACCATCTTTCATGCCTTAAAAGCTTCACCTAACTTAAAACATTCGTTTTTCCTTACATTACTTTTAGGTTTTGTATTGGTGTTTTCTTGATTGTTAAAAGTTTTTTAGCTTTTTAAGACAATTAAAATGGTATCAGAAATCTATTTTATATAAGATATTTCAATAAATAATTAAACACTCTCACTACCTAGAAACTGAGAATAATCGAAGCTTTTCAAGAATACAAAATGCACACGTTAGATGACCGAAAACCAATATTCATCACATTCCCAATATGTTGATCACGTACATGTTTATTTATATTTTTTATTTTTATACATTTTCTCCTTATTTCTTTCCATCTGTTCAGCTGCATATATGCTTATACGTGGGAGTAAGGAAAAGCTTTTGATGCCTCTTTCCACTCTCAAATGGATTTTATAAAATAAATCCGTCTACTTCTGGGATATTACAAACCTTTGCGTTTTTTATTTGTTTTTTTTCTCGCATAAGAAGGGAGCAAAATTTGGAGCAATACAAACGATAAATTTTATTCTGATCGATGCTTGGAATCATTTATCATGAAATGCTTTCATTTTCGCTCCACCACGAAAAGCAGTTATCCATTTAGAATCATTTCTCATAAGGAACATTGCAAACGAATATGGAATTCATCATTTTGTTTCTGTATACTCAAAGCAAGCCATCATAAGAAAGTACATGTAAGAAAATAAAAAAAAACCATTTGGTTTGGTGCATAAAATTTTATTTTGTTTCCAATTACGAAATGTGACGAGTACAAAACTAATATTAACACTATTTAAAAAGAACTTAAGAAAAGCCGTAAAAAGTATTTTCTTCTTATATTTTCTTTTAAAAAAGGATAAATAGTTACTTAAGTAAGTAAGAAAATCACATAGATTCAAGCCGCTCATGGCTTGTTTGATTGCTTGTTTCGATTTACATCTAAGAACATATTTGAAACTTAATCATTAAATATAAACTTAATGTCTATGAGTGTACAGAAAAGTTGTTCCTTAATACTTCCTGGAACTTTTTCTCATACATTTTTTTCAGAAGGAGTGCACCTGTATGGCGCTAGAGATGAAGTTTGTTGTAATATATTTATTACTTTATTCTTTGAATTGTTTTAAACGAATGAATATAATTTAGTTTTCTCTAATAAGGTTTTGCTAGTTTTCTAACAAAACTAAAAAGAGAAAACTGAAATCAATAATAGCATTTCTGAGATAGATAATGTATGTTCTAACACTCCTGGTATTTCATCATTCATAACAATCCAAAGGCTCCCTGATGATGCATTTAAAATAACAGGTATAGCTTCACTGGCAACATGATCCAATCTGTTCTGAAAGAAGCTACCTGTATAAACTCATTGAACCTTTAAATGAATCCGATTTATATATTCTATCTTTCATAATTCTGGTAGGTGATTCCTTGCATATCAATTTTACATGCTCGTTCGTGGTTGGGCGTTTTGTTATTTTGGCGTGTATGAGCTAAGGCATCAGATTTTGTAGGACCCACACAATAAGCAATAACACGTCTGCCCGTTAGATTAAAATGATATTGATCCTAAGAATGAAAACTTTCCAATCAGACTTCTTCCCATTTTCAATTTCTCCTTTATATTGGTATTGGTAGATTATTTTATTAGGTCTCGAGTATTTCAATTTTTTATTTTTTAAATCATTGGTTGACCTATGCTTACTCCATAAGCATTACTTAAACCAAGAATAGCATGCTTTGTTGCTGTGTAAATTGGAGACGATATAAAAGGTTTCATACTAGATGATTATCCAATATTTCCACGAATGATCCCGTTTTGTGTGACATTATAAGAATTGAATAATAACAAAAATGCACAATTTATTGACTTCACATGTAGTGTTTTCAAGTAGATACATAACCAAATTAACATCGGTTTCGAGTTCCCAAAACTTATAATTTCTTATTTCTGCATTGTTAATCAAAATGTCAATGCTGGGAGTAAAGAAATCATTTTTTTATAATTCTGTAGATTAAGTTGGTTTTCAATCAATTTATTTAAATATTTAATATGTTAGTATTAACAATCGCACCTTCAAACTGCGAGTAGTCAGTAACATCGCAATGACAGAATATTATTAGATGCTTGCCGATTTTTTTCTGCAATTCAACACAACAGAGTTCTCCAGCATCAGAGTCAATATCAAAAATTGATATCTAAAATATGCAAAACTCAAAAAAAAAATTCTATATACCTAGTTTTATTAAATTATTTATTAAAGTCTCTGTCTGTCTTGAGATGTAGGAACATGATGTTTTTTATTTCCTTCAAAAGAAAATATTTCAAACCTTTTTTATGCGTCACTGAATGAAATTGTAGCTGGCAATAATATCATCGAAAGTGACTTAAATTTTTTTCATTTAAATGTTATTGTGTTTTGGAAAGTTATTTAAAACAAAATTTTCCAATTTTTCGTTTCAATTTCCCGGGGTATAAAAGATTCAATAATGTGTATAAGGTCAGAAAAAATGCATTATTGCGTCTATTAAAGAAAATATTGATGTGGAAGATGAAAATGTCAAATCACAAGAGTTTGAAAAACTAAAATGAATCTTTCAATCAACAATCATAAACACAAATTAGGCTAGCTTATTATCGGCCACCTGTAAAACGCAATATATATATTTCTTAAGTGATTTAGAAGACGAAATTTCTTCAAGTAAAAAAAAAGAAGACTAACAAATAATAATAATAACATTTCATTTAGGTGCATTTAATATTTCCTTATTTTTTAAAATGAAGTTCTAGCTTACAAGTGCTCCTTGTTTCAAGAGTTGTTCGCAAAATGTTTTATCTAAACCTACAGCACTACCTGTAGCAATGCTAACTCTATCCTTTAGCAGGATTATCCTAAACCTTTGGTCACCAACTTAATATGAGCAACAATAAAAATGTAAATAATGTCTTTCAATTTTCATGCCTTTCCAAAATTTTCCACCCTTCCAGTGGTTTTTCATTAATTGAAATTATGTGTAAGTTCAATCGCGCAAGACAAGCAATTTTTTTTTCTTGTTTGGATGTGTAGATTTTTTTAAAAATTGTAAAAACGAGAGTTGAAGGCACGTGTTTACTAGAGTGTTTTTCATTGAAATACATACTATGTTATTAAAATTTTCATTGATTTCAACATGTCTTACTGAATATTGTTTAAATTAAGGGTGTAAACCTGTTCATGTAGCTTAAATTCAAAATAAATTGTTCATCTCTTCTTTGACAATTTTTTTTTAATTCAAGTTATTTATAATGGATTCGTTTGAGTCATTTCCTCATAACTACCTACTTATAGAGCTAAAAGTATTTTTAGTAGATAAGCAATCAATCTCAAAATTTCTTTTTGAAATTAACTGAAATTTGAAATTTGAATCTTAAAATAGCGTCTTTATTCATCCCCTTCGGCAAAATTTCCCTTACCAAGGGATCAAATATTTTGTTTATTTTTTTGCGCTCATTGAAATTTCGTATCAATTAAAAGCAAAATATGCTTAGCCATATGCACCATTTTACTAAAAAATTCAAATTTAAAAATTCATCCTACACCTTACCATCTAATGAAGTGTTTTTTAGATTGGAAGATAATCAAAAGCATGACGATCTTCAAACAATCAAGCTTATACTTAATCATGTTAAATCAAAGTAGGTCTTTTATATTTCACGGTATACATTTGGAAATTTCAAGCATACCATTTCTTTAAATTTCATAGGTTGAATGATTATCAGATCGAGGAATGGGCCAGACATACAAGAAATCGGAATCCAGCCCAACAAATTATTCATCATCTTAGAGCTCATATTCATGGCGAATTTGTATCACAAGCTTTTGCAAAATTTTACGAATGCGTTAGTGCTTATCCAATGATAAATAATGTCGAAAAAGTTTTTCATTCAGTTCATCTCTGTGAAGCACCCGGCTTCTTCATAACATCTTTAAATCACTACCTAAAATTGAATCATCCTGAAATAGATGTAAGCTAAATAAACAAAAAAATAACATTTTAATACTTTTTATCAATTATTTCTAGTTTAAGTGGCATGCATCAACATTAAATCCATATTTTGAAGGAAACTTGATAGGTAGAACAGTCTTTGATGATCGTTTAATATCGCAAACTCTCGAGAAATGGGTTTTTGGTGATGATTATGATGGAGATATTTTAAAGGAAAACAACATCAGATCACTTATCAAATATTGTCAATCGTTTGAACATTGCATTAATCTAGTCACTGCAGATGGTTCCATCGATTGCTCGGATCAGCCTGAAAATCAAGAAGAGTCTGTCTCGAAGCTGCATCTTGCTGAATTAATTGTCAGCCTCGCAATTCTAGCAGATAAAGGGTCAATGCTCATCAAAATGTTTACATTTTTCGAAACATCATCTATTTCGATTCTTTATATTCTTAATTGTTGTTTTGAAGAACTTCACATTTTCAAACCAGCAACAAGTAAGGAGGGAAATTCAGAAGTTTATGTCATTGGAATAGGCTATAAAAAAAACGTGCTTACAAATGATCTCATAGAGAAGATGATAATCAGTTTTAAAGACGAGACGAAAATGCTTTTACCTCTCGAAGTTATTCCGAAAGAGTTTCTCCATGAGGTCGTCGAAGCAGCCAGATTTTTCATGAATCTTCAAGTAAATGTTATTGAAGGAAACATAAAAACATTCCAAAGATACGACAAATATGAGAATGAAAGAATTCGAAAACTGAAATCTCGAATGGTGGAACACTTTGTAATGCTTTATAAAATTCATCCTATCAGAGAGGAGCAAAAAATACTTAATGGATTAATAGAAAACATCGATATCAATCTGAATGTTAGAGTTCATACAGGATCGCATAGTGAGAGAATAAATTTTCAATATCTTGAACAATCAGAGAAATGTCAAGTTATGCATGATCGTCTTAAACATTTTTATGACAATTTTGTTGCCAATACTGTGAACTCGCCTTGCATTCCTCTTAATTTAAACAATTCTGAATTATCTCCACTTAAATTTATCAAATTCATCTATGGACTTTCATTTGAAAAAGTTGCAAGTAGCAAATTTGTACTTATTCCTGTAATAAAATCTTTTCTTGAACTCTTAACATTGATTGATGAATCAGACAATTCCAGAAAAGAGATTTTTAATACACATATTTTCACGTTAAATGAAAATTGCTTTTTAGTCAATCATGAGTGCTTCAGAAGAACGCGTTCCTATAGTTGCTACGAAAAAGAAATTATTAAACAGCTTTTAATACATATCTTAGAGTCTAGTGATGAATCATTTCGCATAGAGAAACTTCCACTCTTAACTCAATTTACTGTTGGAGTCATACTTTATTTGTCGATCTTTGTTTTCAACGAAATTTCTTTAGAGAGAATTCCTAGCGTAATTTCTCTTAACTCGAAACTTCCAAATGGTAACGAAAATCTCACGATTCTTATAAATTCTCTAGATCAACAGCAAAAATATTCATCAAAAAATATCTTAGGTATTTGTGATACTAAGTTACTTTTTTCTTACTCTCAGAGTTTTTACAAAGCCGTTATTGAATATAACAATCACCTATGTATAAATTTTTCTGGATATTATTTAAATAAAAGCAAGTACGAATAAACAATTTCTTAATTTCTAATTAATTCTGACTTTCATCAATTTTTTTAATTTTCTCTGTTGTTTATAGATATTTATACTTTTATTTGAGATTTATTAAAAAAAAAAACAAAGTGATAATAAAAACTAATTATCCTTTATTTCAATTTTTCGATAGTCTTGGTTAAAATAATTCAAATTTTATTACAATACAAAGCTTCTTAAAAAAATCTTAAGAGCAAAATGAACTGTTCTACTTTTCCCTTTGTTTACTTTACGACAAATGAAAACACAGCGTTTATTATTATTCCATTCGAAACTTATTTTTCATTTTGAACAGTAAAAACGCATACATAATTATCGACAAAGCCTGCTGCAAGGCTAACTTTATGATGATGGAACGATAAACATGAAGTGTGTCCGATTCTCGATCCCATGAAGCCTTCATGACATTGAATTGAGCTAATTTGAGCTCCATCGAGTCCATGAATAGAAATGTATTGTCCAGCACTAAAGAATTAAAATATGTTACAAGATAACTCAAAAATCTTTTACAAAATATCTTACCATGCAATGATATCTGCACTTGCATGAATGGAAATTGATGTAATATCATTCCCAGCTGACCAATTTTGAACTGAAGTCCGATTTCTTATGTCGAATAATCTTATATCGCCATTTGAGCTTTAAACCAAAACAAGACAATATAATATGTGAATTAGTAAGAGCTTCGTTTAAATCATTTAAATTTGAATCAGAATGAAAGAAAATATTTGAATGGATTTTTTAACAAGCTTTAACTTTTTCTTCATTTTTAAAGCTCAAACTCACCTTCCTGACACTAAACTCTCACAATCGTTCCTCAATGTAATGGCCAAAAGTGATTGACTATGCTCACGATAAGTCATAATTTTATTTTCATTTGGCTGTGCCCGACGATCGTAGATTTGAATACAGCCGTCGCCAAACCCAACTGCGAAAAGAGCATTCGGTGCACAACTGATGTGAGAAACAGGAAAATCCGAGCCAGTTGGAATATCGAGAACTTTTAACTCTCGCTCTGCATCCCATAATCGCAAAAGCTTAGATTCACCACCAGCTATTACTGTCTGTGTACTTTGATGCCAAGCAGTTTGTAAACCAAAAATTCTTGAACTTCTCAATGGTTGATCATCAAGTGCTTGAAATGCTGTTACAAGATTACTGTTAAGAACTAATGATTTGCCACTTTGCTGATTACTGTTATTATTCTTCCATATTCTTACACTTCCATCATCATATCCTGCTAAAATAAGCCCACGATCATGAGCATTGACAAATTGGATGCTTGAGACACGGATCGATGACGATGGGGGGGATGTAACAGAATGTTTTTTTCCAGAACTTGGCGTTGTTTGAGTTGTTGTTGAATTTTGACTGTAAATCGAGGAACTTAATTGCATTGGTGACAATGATGTTGATATATTTAAAGCCCAATCATTAAGCATTATTCGATCAAGATATGCGACTGCAATTTGTTGCTCATAAGGATGAAGTTTAACAATTGAAGGTGTCATTGAAGTTTTACCAATGAAACTTTGAGTTTTAAGATTATGAAAGATGGCAAGTCGATGTTGGTCTAGAGCTTCCTTACGAATCCTAGCATTCCTCGTGAACCTCATTTTTCTTTCCATCGTTTCTTGAGCAAACTGGTCATTTTTGGCAGCTTTTGAATTTGTATGGTACTTAAGTGGACGCGCCATTGAATTGATTTCCCATTCAACAAAATTTGTCTTCACAATAGGAACCCGAAGTTTATGTGGTTTATCACGATTTAACGGCCCATCATTACCACTACCTCCGCCTCCTGATGATTCACTCGTATTTAGTCTAGCTGTTGAACCTGAATGTGAATTATGCATAATATGACTTAAATTTCTTGTATTTGGTGATGGTGGAAGACTATAACTACTCGATCCACCTGATGTTGATGAAATTCTATCACAAATAACTTCTTTTCCAAGTGGAATCATTGCAATTGTTGGTGCCATTTCTATAGCCATTTGACGAATATGCTCGACCACTTTGCCTCCCATAAGTGCAACTTCTGGACATGGATCACGTGATAAATTTAAAATACCATTCCAAAGCTTTGAATAGATTGAACTATAACTGCTGGTTTGGATTATTCCTGGACAATGTGAGAAAATTCGATCAACTGTCATCAATTGCAAGTTCTTTTCACTAAGAACTGTCTTCATTTTCAAGCTGTTATTACCACTACTACTTTTCTTCCATGAACCTTCTCGTTGATGAATTTCCTGTGTAATGTTGTTGGCATTAAATTGCGGATTTTCACGTAGACAAACTTCAACAAAATAGTTGTCGAAGAGCTTAACAATCCATTGAAGGGCCGCAACAAGCTCCATTCGAACAATAGGACTCATGTCACTTGATACACATTCCAACAAATGCATAGCAATTTGACGATCCAAATCATTAGCTTGTGTTGTTCTGACAAGAGTTGAACTGATGAATGTTCCCAAAGCATAAACTGTTGCTGCTCTGACTTCAGGTACAGGATCCTTTAGTAAGGTGTATAGTTTTTCGTAAGCTAAATCTCTAGCTCCAGACCAACGAGCATCTTCATAGTTTTGCCATAAATTTCCAAGACAAATTGCAAACCATTTTCTTAGAATAGGATTTGGATCGTTGATCTGCTCTAAGCAAATCGAAACAAGTTGTCCTTTCAAAGCATTGGCTTGTCCTTGCTCAAACTTAAATACGATACTTGCAAGAACAAATGCAGCAAACGTTCGGCAATCAAACTGATTAAAAACGAGTGTTGTGTCTTGAAGAGCATTGAGAAAATAGGAATCAACCGATTCTCGAACAATATCAACTTGACAGGTCTTTATTTAATTGAGAAAAGAGAGAAAAGATAAAATCATATAAATAGTTAGAGAAAAAAATAAATTGTGATTGTTAACTCACATAATCTACAGCCAAAATCTTTGCCCAAATGAACACTAAATAAGGCCTCAACTCTACAGCGGGACTCTGAAGAAGACGAAGTACATAAGGAAATATCCCGACATTTAATGCAAGATTTACAGCCCATCCACCGATATCCAGAAATTTTTCGAGCAACTCAAGCGCTCGAATTCTATGAGCTTGCGAAAGTAAAACTTGCAAAACAATTGGTAGTTGTTCTGGAGGATAACTTTGATCAGGATTTCCTTCCAACCAAACTTGAAACGCCGTCAATTGTTCTTCGAAAAATGGAGAATTTGAATAATTTTTCTTGGTGGCGAGAATATCTGGTAACTGAGAAAGTGCGACGTCTAATGCTAAATCCCATGCTGCCCACATTGGATGACGAAAAGTATGAGGTAGACCAGGTGAAGACACTGGTGTACAATCATATGAGCGAAGAATGCGATCAGCCAATAAAAAATTCCTAAATAAACTGGCAACAAGAAGATCTTGTCGAAAAAGTGTTTGAAAAAGTTCACGTGGTAACGTATTCCAAGCGATGGTATCTGTAATTGCTGTAAAAATCCAATTAAGTTCACCTAGCATTGTTCTACGATCATTTAGAACTCCTGGAATATTCTCGATCATTTCATTCGTAACGTGTGGGACAAGTCGTGAAGTCGAGCGCATTGAGAACCATTTTAAGGCAGTTTTAATTGGTGTGGTGAGACAAGAGGTAAACAAATCAGCAGGCAAATCAGGATTCATTGGCAGGATCTGATCAGAAGCGCATGCTGCAAGTTGAATACAATTTTTATATGATTGATTTGATATCGATGATGATCCTGTTTGCGACGATCCAGGTGGAGAAGACCCTCGATTTGTTGTCTGTTGTTGCGCATTTGCTTGTTGCTCTAGCTCATGTTGCTCTGCAAAATTATTGAATGAATTTACAATAACTCCTGCATTTGAGCAATCCCAAACATAAATTGAGGGTGCTCCCATCCATGTTTGCAAGTCATAGATCGATAAAGGGATATATTGTGTATAGGTGCGATTGAACACCCAAATTTCACCATTTCTGGTTGGTCTAGGAACACCGTGGCCATTGTAATGAAATAAAACACGTTCTTCTTTTGCATTGCGACGAAGTGACATGCATAACTTCTTCACATCTTCAACTGTTGGATCTAATGACTGCTTATAACGAGCTTTTGGCTGCCAACGCTCATATTGCTTTTGTAATGATGATCCAATAAGTTCAAGTGCTTTCTGTGGTGCTACTGAAGTTGGGTCTAAGAGTATATTTAAATTCGTGAAAAAGTAAATCGTTGCTGTAACATTATAAGAAGGTATTTACCAAACCAACATTCCGTTCGAGCACAAGGATCTGTTTTTACAAGGTCAGGTGGATCAACACCCACATTGAGACATAAAACAAGAGCCACTGAAACTGTTTTCATCTATAATCATATGAAAATCTAATAAATGTTTACTTTAATATTTAAGTTATTCTATTTACTCGCTCCTTTAATCGCCAGTTTTTCAGTTCTGTAAGAAAACCTTGGATACGCTGTTCATGACAACGTTGATGGAACGCTAATGGAAGATTGTAATCATCGTCTTCACTATGCATTTTAAATACTCCTTCCGGTCGAACTCGCATTTTTAAAAAAATTATTTTCTAAGCTACTATGTCTAAAGCGAAATGTTTTTATTTTTTGCGACTTAAATCACATTGGCGATAGAAATTTTGGGTTATAATTCACGTTGGTAAGATGGAAATATCACGTATGAAGGAGTATCAACCCTTACAACTTATTGAATATAGTTATATTATTATTTTCAAATCTGCTTTACTTTATTTTCAAATAAATTCTTAATATCTAATTGTATTTTTTGATTTTGTAGATTTATGGGAAGTTACCAAATGAAAGGTAAACTTCGGCACATTAATCTCTGAACATATTTCTTAATTTTTTGAGCACACTCCTTTGGTATTATCGAACATTTTGTAAGTGAATATTTATTCTTTTAACTCATGATTTGTTAATTTGTTTTGACAGACTAAATCAATAAATATTACTCGGTTATTCTGCAAGTGCAGAGTGTCTGATTAAAAGAAAACTATCGAGCGAATTGAGTATTAAAGGGAAAATAATGGCACTGAGAATAACTTCGTCCCTTTTGAAATCAGCCAATGGACAAACCTTGCAGCAGGTAATCTATAAATTTTAGTTTTTAACAGATGAAGAAAGATTCTAATGATATTTGGAAAGCGCAAGCTATGGAAAAATAAGATAAAATATATAGATTTTTTTCTGAATTAAGATTTTATAATATTTTTAGTTACCGAAAATTCACATATTAAATGGCTTACAAAACAAAATAGATTCAATTAATTGCAAAAATCACAATTGTCTCTGTGTAGATGCACGGTTTGCACGGTTTATTGTTTTATTTTTATTTCAGTAAGATTAAATTAAGTATTTGAACTTAGTATTTTTCGGTTGCATAACATCTGTGGAAAATTGATCAGGCTTTTAAAAAAATTAAACAAGACATGCATTCTGAAATAATCTTATTCATTTTTTCTTTTTAGCTCAATAAATTTTCAACATCTGCTAAGGCATGGAGTCGTGGACAAAAAACTGTAAGCGCTTCCATCCATTGCCATATAGGTTAACGCAACTATAATTATTATGTTTATTTTTTTTCTAGTTGGCAATGCTAACAGGAATAACTGTTGGTGGTGCTAGTGCTTTACTATTTGCTTTAGAATCTTCTGTAAGAGCATCAGGAGGTGAAGTCCATCCCCCTGAACAACCATGGAGCCATAATGGAATTATCCAATCATTAGACCATGCAAGGTAAGAAAGGAACTAATTAGTTTATCATAATATTCATATGGCATTATTAATTTCGATCTTCTTTTTTGTTTTTCTTTTGTAGCATCCGACGTGGCTATGAAGTCTACAAGCAAGTCTGCGCTGCTTGTCACTCAATGAAATATATTGCTTACCGTAATCTTATTGGTGTTTCTCATACTGAAGCAGAAGCTAAAGCTGAAGGTAATAAAATATATCATTAATGTTAATATAAGTTATCAAAACATCTAAAACGACATTTCAGCTGAAGAAGCTATGGTGAAAGATGGTCCTAATGATCTCGGAGAATATTTCATGAGACCTGGAAAACTCTCTGATTACTTTCCTAGCCCATATCCAAACGAAGAAGCAGCTCGTGCTGCAAACAATGGAGCGTATCCACCTGATCTCAGTTGGATTGTGTCAGCTCGAAAAGGTGGCGAGGATTATATTTTTGCATTGTTAACTGGTTATCATGATCCACCAGCTGGAATTGTTTTACGCGAAGGTCAATATTATAATCCTTATTTCCCGGGTGGCGCCATTGGTATGGCTCAAGCTTTATACAACGAAGCTTTGGAATATTCCGATGGTACACCAGCAACTGCTAGTCAGTTGGCAAAAGATGTTTCAGTTTTCCTAAAATGGGCTTCTGAACCAGAATGGGATGAACGCAAACGTATGTTTATTAAAGCTATGGGTATGTTATCAATTCTCATTGGATTGACTTATTACATAAAACGCCACAAGTGGTCATCGTTAAAATCGAGAAAGATCTCTTATCATCCGAGATCAAAATCAGAGTAGAAAATCTTAAACGTATGCAGTGAAATAAATGCAAAAATCTACCCACACATCCGTTAAAACGATTATAATTATAAATTAATTAAATTGAACATTTTCTTCTCCATTTTTGAGAAACCAGAGTGTTTTAGCAAATGTAAATGGAAATACAATTCCAGTTGATGGTCAAAACAAAAATAAAATTAATAAATTAAAAAAAAACTACAATTGTTTGAACTGCTATTAAATTTTATAGAAAGATGAGAAAAACAAACGTTTTAAGGCATTCTTTTGTTGTTCTCCCCGCACAAAAGGTTTTCAGAATAAGGTTTAATAAATTAATTAGTTGCCAAAGATTTTTATAAGTATTTAATTTATTAAGCTTTTTTTTTTCATTTTCTTTACATTTTTTCATATCTGTCCCAATTAGGCAATAATAAAATCTAATTTTAAATAAAAATAATGTGTTGAAGATAGGAAAATTGATGAGAAGAATGAGAAGATTAATGAGAAATAATTGAAACAAATCTTTAGAATGTAAATATTTTCAGACACCTGCATTAACAGGTAAGAAATCAGTGTAAGGAATATTCCGTATGGGTGATTCAATAATACACCTTTGTTTCATAAAAATAAATAAGATATAAAAAAATAGACAGAATCAAGTATGAATTGATTTGACAGAATAAGAAGACGCGAGATGAAGAAAACTGCTTTTACCACTCATTCTCTTCCTTCTGTATATCTTTAGATGATTATGAAACTTTACACTTCTCTCATTGATTTAATTACAAAAAAATCGTGTAGACGAACTGTACACTTATTAGCGCGATATTTTTAATTTTAATTTTTTTTTATTAGTTTCCGAAAAACTTTACTTCGGTCTTACATATTTTTCTTTCTTTCTCTTTTTGCGGGATGATAAAATGCAACGAGGACAACATTTTAACCAAATTTTTAAAAGCATGAACCTTCTGGTGGTTGTGTCAGCTTCAAGTTATCCTTAAGTGTCATAATTCTACGGATTTCTTGTAATGTAGATTTAATTGTGTATTCACGGTTCCATCGTGCAAGCATTGGAACTAATCTGTGATCAACCTAAAACGAGATAGGAAAATTAGATTGATTGTCGTGGATTAAATGAAAATAAAATATATTTACCACGCCGTTCTGACTGTTTATGCAATTAATGTTGATTTTAGATAGAAACTTCAATGTTGGTGGCTCATCTGGATACCGATTACCGCATTCTATTTTTAATGAATATATTCTATTTTCATATGGAGTCTAAAAAATGAATCGGTGTCTTATAAATAAATATTGAAATGCTGATTATTCAAAATTACTCTTGGTGGTCCAATTATCATTCCAGTCCAATGAGTCAATGTCATATCATCATCACTTTCAAGACCCCATGAAATAGTTCCATCTCCAACGCCTTTCTGTCCAGCTTCTAATTCTTCAAGCAAACGAAAATTTCGTGGTACCACTAGAAAAATTAAAAGAAAAAAATACTAAACAATATAATGTAGGTAATAGCCGAAATCCATTTGTCCTATATTCCGAGATTTCTTTTATATTTTTCTTCTTCGTTTAAAGTAATCAACTATATGCGTTCTTAGTTATAAAAATAACATTATAGATTTTTTAAAGAAATATTTGTGATAATTGTTATGCAAAACGAATTAGAAGACCATATATAATTCTCATTTAGCGCTGCGACATTTAATTTATTAAATACAGAAAAATGTGATTCCGCGATGAAAAAAAATAATGATATCTTGTAACTCACCAACTCCAGACATCTCTTGCCAATTTTTGTCCTCTTAATGCTGTACGATTTAAGTCGCTTTAGCAATTAATGATTTAAATAATTCTTAAGCAAGAAGTAAAGTTTCAAATCGAATTAATAGCGATATCTTCGAATTTTAAGATCAATTGTCGAAAGTTCTAAAGTTTTCTACCGATGTTTGTGCACAAACGCGAAAATATGATTCCCTTGATTTAGAAAACAGAAATAATTTAGTTTGTTTTAATTCAGTTTTATATTAATATCTCCACTATTAGATCTACAGTAAAATTTGGTAATTATAATATTTACTTATTTAGTAATATTACAAAAATCTATTGCGTTTTTTTTGCTAAAGCAGATAAAAAAACGTTTTTTGAAATTTTTTTCTTCTATTTTCCACAACTTGTAAATTCGAATTTCTTTTAAAATCTTCGAATTATTTCGAGCGACCATTTTTCAATTGTTTCTCATACCTAGCCTCGTGTGTAAGTAGACAAAAAAAAACTTAAAACAGGAGAACTGTTGAAATAAAGTTATTTATAGTGCTTCATTCGTTTTCTTATCTTAACCATTTAATACATTTTAATATTCTTATTGTGTAAATTGATGAATTTTAAAAGAAATTGAGTGTTGAAATTTTGCGTCTAAAAATGCGCTAATTTTTTTTAATGACTTTCCTTTTATTTGTCTCCTTGTCTTCTCATTCTAGAACCTGATAATTGGATATAATTAAGATTGCGGATAAAGGCGGGCGCTCATCGTTTTGATTTTAAGGAAAACAGAATTTGCTTGAAGCAAACAAATTGCAATGAGTGCGGGGATGCCAGAATTAGGCTCAAAAATCAGCCTCATATCAAAAGCTGATATTCGTTATGAAGGACGACTGTTTACAGTCGATCCGCAAGAATGTACTATTGCTTTAGCCAACGGTGAGTACATATTACAAATGTATAATATTACTACTGAATTTAAACGTCTGATGTTTCACATGTTATCTTACTCTAGCAATAGTGATTTCAATATCTCTTTACATTCGCTAAAATCTTACACATAAAAAATAATTAAAATTTTTACATGATACTTTTCTACGTATTGTTAAAAAAGTTCCATTGTTTATTTAAAAAAAAGTAACAACAAACAAAAAAGAAAATGGAGCGCTTTCGCACACATATAAAAATAAAATCTTGTGTTTGTAAAACTAATTATACAATTGTGAGCCTTATCAGACAATTCGCAATAAGAAGAAAGAAAAAAGTATTTGGTGTGATAATAACTTTTTTTTGTTTTTTTTCTTCTTTGTTTTCGTCTCATTCCATCATTGTTTGTTGATGATTCAATCATGGCGGCACTAAAGTGAGATCATTTGGAACGGAAGATCGAGAAACACCATACCCGATCATGCCACAACCAACGGTATACGATTACATCTTGTTCCGCGGATCTGATATAAAGGATATTCGTGTGGTGAATAATGTCGCAATTCCTAATGATCCAGCTATCATGCAAATGCACTTACCACCAACACAACAACAATTCCCACCACAAAATTTTCCACCAATGCAGCCTGGAGGAGCTCCAGCAATGGCGCAATTTGGACCTTTCGCTCAAATGCAAGGAAATTTGGGACCTACAATGGGAGCATCCAATATGACTCAGCAACAACAACAGCAAAATCAATCACCGGTTCAATCGCAGCAAGGTAACAACAAAAATTTTGTTGCTGGTTCTGGGCAAAAAAATAAGAAATCAAGTGAGTTGTCTAGTTACAATGAAAGTGACATGTTTTCCATGACTCTACCGACAGTCGTTCAAAAACGAAGCAACAAAAGCCAAGGTGTGCAGCTTTGTTATTTTTCGTTCATTTTTTTGCTTTTTTCCTGATTATATTTTCTGTTCTTTAATTTTAAATGATTTCAAGCACATTAGATGAGTGGAAATTAAATCAATTTTATTACCATTAATGAATTTTCGAAACCATCGAAACAAGTCAATTTTCCTATAAAAATGCACATGATTCAAAGTTATTTTGCCATCAGAACCAAAATGAATTCATTTAATATTTTTTCTTTTAAGTTTTGGTTGCTTTTTCATAAGTCCCTTATTTTTTAAGAGACTAAGTAAAAGTTACACATTAAAATCGTTTTCATTTAGATTCACGCACTGGAACACCACAAAACTTGCCACGCAAGTCGCCAACAGCTGAAACGAGTGTTCAAACAAATCAGAACCAACGTGACAATCAGTCTGGCAACAAGGATAAGCCGCATCAACAAAACCAGAAAAATAATCAACGAAACAATAATCAATATGAAAGGCGAGACTCTGGTCGTAATGAAGGACAGGAAAATAAGGGCAACTATCGGGTAAAAATACTTATGAATAGAAATTTGAAGAAAGTGCAAATTTATTTTTGTTGTTTTTTAAATTTAGAATCAAAATCAACGTCCAAGTAATCAGCAACAACCGCGCGGATACAACAACCGCAATAGTAACAACAATATCAATCAGCATCAACAACAAATGCGAGGAAATCAAGGTGGAAGTGCAAGAATGCGAGGCACACCAATGCACAATGTGAGACCACAGCAAAATAATCAGAATAAGCAGAACAGCGTGCCACAACAATTGCGTGCCAACAGCAAGCCGCTGAAATTCGAAAATGAATTTGATTTCGAACAGGCAAACAGCAAGTTTGAGGAATTACGTTCAAAGCTGGCAAAATTAAAGATGGCATCTGAAGATCCTAAAAGTACTGATCAGGTGAATTAATATTTTAATATTTCCATCACTCTTATTTGACAATTCCATCGCTCTATATTACTATATTATAACGACCACAATTTATCATAATTTCCCTTGTATTTTCGTCTTCATTTGAGTAAATGTTTGAGTTATAGACGTAATGCTAAATTTTAAATTGTATATTATATTTTTAAGGTAAATGGAGAGATTGAAAAGAAAGAAGATTCTGGAAATGAAACGGGTATTGATCATGAACCCGAAACAGAAGAATCAAATACAGCATATGACAAGAACAAATCATTCTTCGACAATATTTCTTGTGAAGCTGTTGAACGTTCGAAGGGAAAGACTCAACGTACCGATTGGCGTCAAGAACGTAAAATTAACAGTGAAACGTTTGGATACATGTCGTATAATCGGCGTGGAAAGTGAGTTTCATTTATTGAATACATTTTAAGAATAAAAGCATTTTTATTTCTTATTTTCAGCTTTCGAGGACGATCTTATTATCAGTCATCAAGGACTTATCGTGATGTAATGTCTGGATATCGTCCAAATTACCGCCCAATTCGGAATCATCGCAACCAAAACAATACTGGAGCAAATAATACACAGAACAACCAAGGTAATGGTCAAAAATCTCAGAATCAGTCAGCACCAGTCGCTGCGAACTAACTTTCTTTCCGCATGAATTTAACCTCATCAAAAGGAATGAAAAAGAGAAAAAAAAATGCGTTAAAAAAGATTTAAAATATAAGTCAATAATTTTTACACAATTTTCCATCGCTCACTTAAGTGAATTTAAGAAAGAAAAAATAATTCTGCATAAATTGATTTAGAAATTATTATTAACTCTGTTGAACATATAAATTGAAACCAAGCGTGGCGACAAAATATTTCCATAAAACTGCGTTAAATGAACATTGAAAAAAAGGTTTTTTTAGATTTTTAAATCATTTAAATCATAAAATATCTTTGAGAGATCATAAAAACGAAAGCGAAAGAAACTACTTAGTATTGAATTAAATCAAATTAGAAGTCAAAATAGACCTTTAAGAAAAAAAGAAAACAAAAGAAAATTTGCAGAATTCATCAAAATTTAATAACAATATTTGTGCAAGTTACGATAATCGCATGTAAGGGATCCCACTACAATAGTGTCTTAAACGTCTCAAATTAAACTATGCAATCCAAAACGAAAATGGAAGAAAAATCTTTTCTTCTTATTATCTCTGACTTATCTTTCATCTTTCACCTTCTTCTAATTCTTTCTTTTTTTTGGAAAATTATATTAATAAAAATGGAATGAAACTCCACGAATATCTAAAGTTAAGAATTGAAACAACAACTTTATCCACGGATTTGATGTTTTATTTTATTTTGCTGGTAGTAATGATAAAAAGAGAGAACGAGATTATTAATTAAAAAAAGGCAGATTTAAATACAACTACTATGCTTGACGTTTAATAAATCGAGGTGTACTACATAAATATATTTGCGATGGAAAATTGTTGAATGAATGAATAAAAAAAACCTATAAACATTTTTAACAGTATGAAAAAAACGTTGCCGAAATTAGCAGAAAACTTTTGCGAGCATTTTGATGAGATAATTTATTTTCTCAAACATACAAAGGCTAACAAATCTCTCTAATAATATCTTATTCTATGTTCACAACAAAAGTGTAAGAGCACATGAAAAAAAATGCATCTTGTTAGAATGAATTTAAATTTTCAATATGATGATTGATTGATTAAATTACTTTTCGCATTGTTTCGCATAAATATTAGAACATAAATCTTCTTAAATGATATTTAATAGCGTGGGTTTAAAAGAATGAATAAAGAAAACAAACAAAGAAACAAACATATTAAAATAACACTCTGGAAACTCTCACTTTCTAAAGACTGAAACATGAAAAGTCATATGTGGTTTAATATAACCGATGTACTTGAGAAAAACTTCCTGAGAATTTCCTTCACTGATAGTTTAAACGCTTACTGAATCATTCAAATAGTTCATCTCCTTACAAGATTCTGGTGTTCTCTGGAATAAAATTGAACAATATTTTGTGTAATGGGTGATTAAAAAGCCAATAAATCGAAATTAAGAAAAATGATGCATGTATCACTTAGCTGAGGAATCTTGTTTAAAGTAAGAAAGAAAGCATTTAGATTCATGTTTTTTCCTTTGTGCGAAGAAAAGCGATGAGTTAAATTAAAACACCGGGAAAATAGAAACGTCGGTAAAAACACATAAAAATTAATGCTAGAGTTGTTATAACTCGAATCTTTTGTTTTGTCGCTATGAAGAACTTATTTCAACTTGGGCATAATTTGAATACCTTTACGTGACACACTAAATAATTAATCATCATATTTAAAAGGAACTTAAACATTGCTAATGATGAAACACTTTAGAGCCTCTGCAAATTTAATCAAGATTTGATCGAAGAAGAGGAAAATGAGAATAAAAATTAAAAGAAAAACAAGATCGTTTCATTTTGATGGTTTTCTTCTTGATTAAAAACTGATTGAAGGATTTTCTTAAACAAAAATAAATTTTATAACTTAAAAAAATTGCATGATGCAATGAATAAGAAAAAATAAATAAATAAACGAAAGAAAAGTGATTGATAATTTGTTAGATGCATTGAAAAATATAAACAATAGAAAAAAAATAATGATGTGAAATGTAAATCAAAAACTTACAAACAAAGCGAAAAAAAACAGAGTAAAGAATGGAAGGACAAATTTGAAGAAGAATAAATTTGGAACATCTGGAAAGAAAATTTTTCATGTTTTATTATTTTATTTCTTTTGCACCATCCTTAATAATATTTAAAACTAACTCAACTCTATTTAGAAATCTATTGCCTGCCATGGTTTCTCGTCTCTGCCTCAATCCTCATGTGGAAAATATCTTTTATCAATCAACTCTTTGATATTTTGAGCCTCTTTTTAATTAGAAACTGTTTTCTATCTAGTTGTTAATTGATTTATGGAAATCAGAATTAGAAGATTCCCTAATACTTTTTCTTTGCTAAATAGTTAACATTCTATTTATCTGGTTAAGTAAATAGATACTTAAATGAACTCAATTCTTTAATCAATAGAAAAATAATTTTTACATAAGGATTAAAACGCGATTACCGAATGCTTAGATATGGATTATAAAAGATTATCATATTCATTTCCAACTGATAATTTGGTCTAGAACTAGTTTTTCCTCCCGTAGTTTCTGCATTCTTGTACAATGTATAATATTTATAGGACATTTTTATGATTTCAACTAACAAATTTTAGAATAAAATTTGAACTTCGTAGAAATTTATATCGATCTAGATGTATTTTCTTGAGAATCTAAGTTTAAAGAAAATTAATGTTTTATTTGTTTTGTGTAATATCTATATGGTACAAATTGTTTTCACAACTACTGTTGCTTTCCTTTGAAAATTTCACAATTCATGAAGTTGAATTTTTATCGACGTTGTAATTTTATAATATTATCAGAAGTTCTGATAATATTATAAAATTACAACGTCGATAAAAATCATTTTTCCAAAGGTAAATTTTTGCGTAAATCCAATACGGTTGCCCGTCACCCTAGGGTGGGGCCTCCGTAATTATCTTATGCAGTGGAAGTGCGATAAACTGATGGCTCAAGGGGCAAGAAAAAAAAATATTAGTTTACCGCGACTATTAGTTCATTGAATGTCATCATCATCATCTCCTCCTAAGGAAGTAGTACTCCTAATGGAAGTTCTCAATCTGTTTGCTAAACCAAACGTGTATCAATTGTCATCGTTTCTTTTTTGAACTTTTTTGCATCATAAGATTAATTGATTAATTATTTTTGCAATCAGTTGTTTCAACCTAAAGTTGAATCTACGAGAATATCCTTTGGTAACAATTGTAATGTTTATGCGTATGTTTTGTTTAATGTGATATACCATCGTCACATGGGGCGTCCATTTTACTGGCTTCTAGTCTGATGGAAGCCTTTTTATAGATGTTGTTTACTTACGTAATAAAATTATTTTAAAAAGCCTAGGAATAATAGCAAGCAACCACAATCATAAAAAGATGTTCATGTACAGAGCGACATTCCTATATTTAATATTTTGTCATTGTCGGCAACAATTTGCTTCTAGAATTTTCAATGCAACATTTGCTTCATAGTGAAGCTTGCTTTTTATTTAGTATCGAAAATTTCAAGTAGAGATTTATGACGATGACTCCATTTGGTATGGAACAAGCAGGTAAAAGTTGTTTTGGTTTTCATGGATAACAACATCTTGCTTGGGCAACGAAAAAATTGACCACGGGAGTCATGCTCTCAATAAAACAAAAAATTTCGTGTCATTGATCTTCATGCCGTTACAATTTTGCACAAAATTTCAAATGTATGTTATTATGAATCACTCACATTAATTAATAAAAACTGCACAAAATTTCATATGTTCGGAATTTTCATTCGACTTGGAACTCAAACTTTTTAAGCCTCATTTTCAACACTTTTTATTCAGTGATGATAAATATTCGACTGGTCATTTGGTTTCATAAAGGTAGATAAATGTTATAAATATAGATACATAACTCGAGTTACAAGATTATTACATGGAAGTCATTTCGTTTTCGTTTATGAATAATAAGTAACCTTAATCATCGAAAATCAATTTATATTTTCACATCTATTTCTTAAAGAACTCGGACGCATCATTTATTTATTTATTTATTTATTTTTTTTATTATTAAAAGAATTTTTGAAAAAATAAACCTAGACTAGTACAAAAAAATTATTTTGAATGGAGAACCAGAGAATCCCAAGAACTAGTTATATACGTCATCATAGAGCTAAAATAAACAAGTGGGCGAAACTATGACAATATATGACAATGGCCATCTACTAAGCCATTTTCTTTATTCATTTATCTGCATGAAAAAGTAAAATTTATAGTGAAAATTATAGAAACTAATTACGATATCCGTGAGCTTACAAATGTTCATTTTTGAGAATGAATAGAGTTAGACTACGAAGATAAATGTTTAGAAAAAGAATTCATTGAATTTAAACGTTGCTACAATTTCAGGAATAAAAGAAGTGGCTAGCAGTTCAATTCTAATTACGGTTGAAAAACATGTTGAACATGTGCATCAAATATAATTACAATTCCTCTTTTTTAGTAGCATTGATGATTAAACATTAAGGTTAGGAACTGAAATACCATTTAATAGTTAGGAATACATTTAAACATTTGAAAATGCTGTCCTGAGATGTGCGCTTTAAAATAACAAGCGCACACTCAAAAGAAGCCAACAAACTGTTAACAGTTCTTCGTTTTATGCCTCTGCTTTATTTTGCGTGGTGACCTTCTCCAAAATAATGTTTTTAAGTAAAAAAAATTATCTACTTATAAAACAACATCAACTCGTATAATAATTTTTAAAAATACATCTAACGAATCACATCATCACATTAACAGAAATAATGTAACCCAAAAACGTCATCGACCTCGAGAATGAAATTTCCTTTTAAAATTATTTTGATGGACAATGAAAGTATTTGATTATCTACTCTTATAAAATAAGAACAATTTACAGATTTTGAAAAAAAATTGCACTTTCAAAACCTTAGCCACCAACACAATGACCGTAAACTTATGGAAAGTATCTGAATAGAAAAACAAATGAGAAAAACTTTCCCTTTTTCTATGGGCTAGTAGATACATAGTACTGTAAGTAAGCATTTATGAGAGTTGCTTCATGGCATTGAAATTCTACCGCAAAAGGTCTGCTGAAATTAAGTAAACAATTTCAACAAAGTAAATACTTATGTATATTAAAGACCTCATACATGTGTACACATATTAACTAAAAACAATTCATAATTATGAAATTTGTAACGAAATTATTTATTAAAATGTAAATAATTGTCGTCGCCTTCAACAATGGTTAAAACACAGAGATGGGCAAATGTTCCGTTCAACTCGATTGACTGACTGACTGACATGTCAATGTCTGTCAGTCAGTCAGTCAGTCAGTCAAAATCGCGAACAAAAATATACGTTTGTTGGGACACGTTCATATAAATGTTCCGCTCAAGTCGTTTGACTGACTGACTGACAAGTCAATGTCTGTCAGTCAGTCAGTCAAATCCCAACTCTGTTAAAACAAGTTCTTTCTTAAATTTAAAACGAAATGTCCAGGTAGATAATTAGATATCGTGCGCAAAGTTTGCATTACAAACATTTATGAGAGTTTCATCATGACATTGAAATTCTATTGTAAAATTCTATTGAAATTAAGAAGTCATCAAATTCACCAGATGAAACTTTATTTAGTTGTTAATGTTTTTCATTTGAAATTATCAATCAATTATCAAAAGGTAAGTGAAAAATTAATAATGAAGATGAAAAGTGAGTGGCTGGTGGCAATGCCAGAATAAATATTTATTTTTTTTCAATGTGATCATCGAACAACTTAGAGTAAACTAAGGAACGACCTTTCTTGATTGTCTGATTAAATTTCACCGATCTAGAGTATCCAATTAAAAAAGAAACGAGTCTATCGATAGGTTGTTGAGTAATTTGTTGAAATCCCAAATGGTGGGAGATTTATGCTTTGAATTTCGGCTTTAACTGCGTATTTCAATTTATTTAGATGGTGTAATAATCAACATTGGACTTGCAAACTGGCACAGTTTCGAAGAAACACTGACTGAATAAAATCTCATGGCCATTTACACCATCGTCATAAACAACAACATCATTTTATTCACAACTCACAAGTCAAAGCTGTTGGTATTGCTGTTTCATACATTAACATGTTGATATGAGTAAATATTATTTCTTTTTAATAATTTAGTACCTAGATACTTTAAAAATTTATTAAATAAAACAGTTTAATCAAAATAAACGGAGATGGCAGCATTGCTGTTATAGACGATGGATAAAAAATAAAACCTTTTTGTTTTTGAACTATTTATAGAATGATGAACCATCGTGACATGGGCATACGACATCAAATGTTTTTAAACCAACTAATTTTTGGAAACCAGTTTCTAATCACCAGGCACCAATCATTGTGCCGTATATTTTTGTTTTCATTTTTTTTTTGGAGAAAAAAATCTTGCGAAACTTCTCATTTCGATTATTCCGTTCGCCAAAGTCTCAATTGATTTTCATAAAATGAAGGCATGGCTTCGACGACGAAAAAGTTAAATAATTTTCAAGGACTTTAAAGCCAACACAAATGTGAATTTTTGAATATCTATTTTTTTGTGAATACGACGCAAAAAATTATGATTACGGAATATTTGATCTTATGATCTCTTCTTCTTGCTTTCTAGCTTTAAACGATGTTAAGACGGTCAAAGATCTTTCATAAGAGTATTTATTTTGATCTAGTGTTACTGCTACAGCAGTGGCAGTTTGTTTAATACTTTCAATTCTTTTTTAATAGTAATCCGAAAAAGTTTATTCAAGATTTTTAGTTTAAGTAATATTTAGGTACACGAAAAAACTAGCAAGTAAGACAAAAGTATTTTGCTTTATGCAGATGAGAAATATTTGTTGGAAAATTTCTATAAATCCTAACGAAACAGGATTTTTTAAATGAAAAGTAACTAATAAAGTTAATTGAGTGTAATTTCAATTAAATTTTATTATATGTAATTTATTATCAGTGAAATCTTACTCAAATTATGCTGTTCAATTACAAGATTTTTTCATAATTGCGTTCCTGTATGTAAGTTTTGCAAACACATTATAAATACAAAAAATATTTCAATTTGTCTGTCTTTCTGAATTCTTTGAAAACTTTCAATCTGTCTCTTACACACGTTAAATATATTTTTTACTGCTGTAAACAAATGTTTTACGCATATTTAGGTATTTAATAATATTATTAATTTATGTATGTGCATTGTTAACCTTGCTGCAAATCTTTATTCATGTTTTCATATATTTCTTAAGATTTTTTACAGTGTTTCATGTTTTTAATTTATTAAATAATGTACTTAAATGTTTTGCAATCATGTGTTTCATTGAAATATAAAATTCCATTTTCTGTTCACCTTTTGTAGATACTCAAAATGAGATTTCACAGATTTCCTTCAATTTGGACTTCGAACTTTAAATTAAAGTAACTTAAATTTATCTCTCGATTATCTCTCGTTTAGCTCTTAAGTGAAATATTACATTGCAAATAAATAAATATATATAAGATCAAATTTGCTTTGTCATGATTACAATTCATTCTGGTGTTTATTGGTTGTTTTCTTAAGGCTGTTAATGTTACTCGATAATACAAAAAAACCGGAATGAGCATGACAAGAATTTTGATTTCAAGTTTACCAATTGATTCAGAAACGACGTCACATGTGACGTTGAGAAGAAGAAATTCTTGCATAAATTATCTGTTTCATGGTTAATTATATATCAAAAAGATAAAAAAAATTTCAACAAATCTCTTCTAGAAATATCATATATGATATATGTATAGGTACATATCCTGATTTTTGCGGTATTTTTTCGATGCTTTATGTAAATGGACGAATTTTATTTCTTTGAATACAATCGAATAGCACCCAATCACAGGTTGAATATTTATGATTAAAATGGTGTAAGTTGTCAATTAACTATGGCAATTCACACTTATTGCAAAAAAAATATGTTGAAATTTTGTTGCTGTTTAGTTTAATCTGTTTTAATCCTTTGTTAAGAACATTCAAAGTAAGAAGTAATTGTTGTGTAGTAACCACGAAAAGTCAAATTCAATCTTCAAAAAAACAAAAGAATGTCATCATTGCAGCATTTCAACAATTTATCAAAAAACGTACTGTACACCAAATCTGGATTTCCTTAACACATGCAAGGCTCAAAAAATCGAGAGCTGAGTTTTGTTTTTTATTTTCATAATTTAAATTAAGTAGGTATTTGTTTTATTTTTCAAACAGGTAAATCTTTACTATCATTTTTCCTTGATTCAGTTGATAGTGGTCAATGAAGTGAATATAACTAAATGTCCGATTAATGTAAAACAAGACAAGAAAAAGATTTACCGAGCAATAATTTTGTTTTCTAATATTTAATGAATAAGAGAATACATGTTCAACTCCAAATCAATAATGTTAGACTGGATGTCTTCAAAACATTACGTCGTGGAAAATTATTCTCCCGAGCTGCTGATTTCTTTAAAAATTAATTGAATTTTGTAAGACAGCAACTGTATAGAATAATATTTTGTGCCATAATTAGATATTTAAGTTAAATTAACATTCATTGCAATGTGTAAATTCGTAATCTTTACCTGTTTTCGTACTAACCAAAGTTCTTTGGGGAATTTGAAGACATGTGTATTGCTTACTTCTGACGTCAAGTGGACATTAAATCTAAAGTTTTTTGTCTTTAATTTTTTAAAACGTAATTCCCTGTTTGCAAGTACAAGTACAAGTAGATATTTGTTTGCCTGTAACAAAATTTAATTGGATTGGATTTCTTTAGACATTTTTCTTTGTGCTTATTGCGAAACAACAATATTTCACACACCGTCATAATCCATTGAACTCCACGTCGGCAATTTTATTTTAATCAAGGTTTAACGGGTAGGAAATTTTTGTTTTTCTTCTCGCTAAACACACTTAAGTGTGTTTTAACGTCCATCTCAACGAAAGCTTCTTTTATTCGTTCATTTTTGATGACGCAACTTATGCCATAATTTTTGCGGCATTTGTCGAAATTAATGGGTTGGTAGGTAAGAACGGAATGAAGAAATATCTCTCTATGTTCAGTTTTTGTTTTCAATATGCCTATTTATTTTTATTTTATTTAGCGAAATGTTAAAATTCGGTGCGTGATTAGACGATAACAGATTGCGGGATGAGAAGATTCGACATTTTATTAAAATTGCGATTGAAACTTGTTTAATTTCTCACTCAATTTTTTATTTTATATTATATTAAAAAAATATTACGCATACTGCTAACTCCAGATTTTCACTTCTACAAATATAGATGGCCATTGACGTCAACAAGTTCTACAAGTAATTCAATTACTTTAAATTGTGGCTACCTTTTTATATCTTTACAAACGTAAAATAGGGTAACATTTTTTTTCTGTCCGAAGTCAAGAACTCGATTAAGAATCAAATCGGTTTCTCGGGAATTTGTATCATTTTCAATGAATTTATAATTTCATATTAAAGTGGAAAAGTAAGGTTGCTTAGATTGGTAACATTTTGAAGAACACAAGTTTACTCAAGTTTAACAACATAATAAATCTAGAACATCGAATAAGCAATCCTTCAGTTTTATCTGTGTTTAAATAATTGATCCTCAGACATTCCAAGGACTTTTCTATAAGTTTAACATATATAAATTTTTAAATTTAAAGTCTTTTCAATTCACAATACCATATTAAATATGGGTCACTTATATTAAAAAAAAATTAATTAATTAATGTGCCATATTATCTAATGAAATAAACGATATTGCAGAACGATTATGAAAGGGAGTTATAAAAACACTAGAAAATTGAGCAGCATGATTTTTTTCATTTTACTTTGACTGGTTGAGCATGTTTTTAAAATTTTAAAAGTAAAAATAAAACGTCAATTTGCAACTCACTTCATGTTGATTATATATTCTTCGCAGTTTTGTAAGCTCTGAAATATGTTTCTGTCTTAAAAAAAATTTCGTGAGGTCAGTGAAAAAAACAATCTTTTGTTAAACTACAAATTTTTTATATAGAAAATAAAAAGCTTTTGGTTTTTTGATCCAAGTAAAGTAAGTAAAAGCCATAAAAAAAAAGATTGCACAAACTTTTACGAAATACTGAAGTAGCATTATTATTACAAGATTTAAATCTGTTCACTTCCTGCTCACGGAATTTTTCATTTATATACTTATGTACCATAATTTTTCCTTCTACTAAAGAAGTGGAGAGAAAAAGATATCCAAAACCTTCCATGTTTAAAAAACACATTTGAAAATTCGTCGATTTCAATGTGCATCTAAAAATTAATTTTATCATACAAAATATCTTTTTCCTGTTCAAAAAAACCCGAACGCTAGTCGGGTCCTCTCATAGGTGACATAGTATACCTGACGGCATTCAAAATCAATGAATTAAATATTTAAAACGATTTGATTTAGCTTCCTTGAAGACATCAAACATATTTTTACAAATAAAAAACTTGAACTTCGAAGCAAAAGTTCACTGAGCGGTATTGACATCGAGAATTTAAAATCTTCAAGTAATGCTTATTTATTTATCATTTGAATGATGATGACGATAATAATGCATATGGCTTTCTTCAAAGTATTGTTGTATTGCTGCAACATTCAACGAAGGAATGGAAATTACGGCAGTTTTAATGTCGACCTTCAAATTGCGTTTAATGGTTTATCTCGCGCTAGGTAGCGACTGACTGTGCATGTGAGTATGCTTGTGAGTATGTTTGATTTAATCGAACCTCTAGTCGTTTCTTCAAAATTAAATATTTTTCATTTGTTTATAAATATATTGTTCGTCTTTGTTTTTGTTTGTGCCAGCAATAACTATGCAAAAAATGCTTGGAATTCAAAAGAAAAAAATTGGAATGAAATCTGTTTAGATGACAAAAAAATATTTCATTTCTAGCATTTAACTTACATATCATAATTCTGAAACAAAAAATATTTTTGAAATTTTAAAAGCAAAATAAATTTTTAGACGATAAAATAAAATATTTTTTAAGTGTTTTATTACTGATGAGTTTTTTATTCAATTATTTTCTTTATTTATGAAATTTTGCGTTTTATTTTTTGCTATAAATTAAGTATTCCTACACAATTTATAATTGTAGTTTTCCTTGGTTTTTACTTCTTCGTTTTGAAAACCTTTTAAAATCAAAGTTCTTCATGTGTGTTGTATTTATTGTTATACATTTTTATTTTTGTTCTCTTAAATTATATATTTTCTTTAGATTTATATTTAGATATTTTATTTCTTACATGTTGTTGATTATTCTGGTAATTTTCATTATTATTATTTAATGGAGTCTTTCAAGTTGTTTGCGGATCCTTCTATAAAAGTTCTGTGAAAACTTGTAAGGAAGAAACTTTTTTTTCGTTTCTTACTTAGCCCCTAAGCAATTCCTTTTCTTTATATTTTGGTTTTTTTTCATATTCTCATTCCCATAAAAACTAAATCAAAATTTCATTTTTTCAGCGCATTCCTTTCTTTCAATTAGTTGGCTTTTAAATATAAATATTTCATATCGGGTTTCTCCATAGTTTCGTGCATTCATAATCTTCAAGCAATCAAGTGTGTTTTCAAATATTTACAAACATACACGCACGTATTTATCAAAAAATATAAACCGCAAAATGAAATTAAGACAAGTTTATGATCGTAAAGGAAGTGAACTTACTTTGTTTGTCAATAAATAAAAGCAGCATAATTATCGATTTCTGATCAAGGATAAAACCTTCATCACAAAAGAAAAACATTAAACACACATTAAAAAGTGATCTTATTACCATGCTCGCATAATGGAATCGTTTTCAGTGTTGCTTTTCTTAACAGCTTTAAAACTTATTTGATCAACATTTTAACTTGACACATAAAGAAATAATATAACTAGTCAAAATAGATGTCATCTGAATATCAACGAGTGGCATGACGAATATATGCAATTCTTCAAAGTCTTTATAGAATTCGTACAGATTCAACTCGTATTATTATAAAAATGATCTCTAATTTTGATTAATATCCCTCAAACAACATCTATATATGCTCCTTTCTCCCTTATATTTCATCATTATTTTTTTTCTGCCCTTATGATGTTTTACGTCTTTTCAGAAACATTAACTCCTTATTGAACCATAGAACCATACGAAATTAAAGCGAAATTTAATTTAAATTAAATAAAAATCTGTATTCAAATATGTTTTCGTATGAAAGAAATTTCGAATGAAAAAAGGGTAGATGGCCAAAAAAAAAATCGACTGTTTGGAACTTACATTGTAGTTGAAGATAAAAATGAAATGTATGTTTGCCTTCGTTCATTTTCACATTTTCAGACGCGATAAAAGAAGGAAACTGTTTTAAGAGAAGAAAAGATAAAGGATTCCTTTACTCAAGAAACTTTCTCATAAGCTCAAAAACAATGATTGATATCATATTTGAATCTCTTAATTGTACATAGCGTTTAAGGATTGTTATATTTTTCCTTATCTTGTGAATTTGTTTACATTGTTGTAGCTTTGTTTTGTTTTATAATTTAAATTATTATTTTTAAAAGAATTTTCCTCTAAAATTCATTTTTTTTACTTTTGAAGCTTAATAAAGCTTCGATAAAGCTTTATATGCGTTAGTTTATATCAATTTTCATTTCAATTGGAACCAGAATTTTTTGTTTCAGATACATAAATGTTAACAAGTAAGCAATTTATTCATTTTCAGTTATGTGATATTTGAGATGAGAGTGGGAGAAAGGGCGGTAATGCAGGAGGATTGAGGGAGTTTTTTTATTACGAAGGAAGTATTTGAAAAAAATTCATAGAAACAATCACGGGTGCACTAAGCATAGATCGTCAATCGCCAGCAAACAAACAACAAAAGCTGCCAGATTCAATGTGAAATTGTAGGTTATCTCTCTTTCTCTCCTTTTCTCTTTCCCCCTTATTATATTTTTTAACAATTTCCTCCTACAATATCTTTTTGATAGCGTGCTGTGAGATAATTGGCAGCTTCTGTCATTTGTTCGAGACTTTTGTACAAGCCCAGGAGATGTGTACGGAACTGTTTAGCAACCTCGAGACTTTTATCTTTTTCCTGTTGTCCTTCGGATTCGATGCCTGAATCATTTTCGTTTGTCGAAGAGACGTCGCTTTCACTGTCACTAATTGTGCTTGTGCTGGAATTTGAGGATGCAACTGACACTGTGCTTGGACGACGAGCATGACCCTTGGTCTCTGTTGTGGTTGGTGCGGTCATTGCTTGTATTTCAGTAGATAATTTGGCATCAGTTGCTGGAGCAATTTCCACCGTGTCATAATTTTGTTCACGCAATTCAGCTTCAGTCGTTTCGGAGGTCTCCTCTTGTCCATTACGTCCCCACAATAAATCAACTTTAACTGAATTTAACATGTTGTAAAGATTAAATAAATCAGTATTCACAAGATGATCGCGCACACCCGATAACTTCTTCTTGTTGTGGTGATGGTGATGATGTTGGGATGTCATTTTTGATGACTGAATCGAATCATTTGGGTCACCAACCTGTAGAAATAAATAAATATTGATAAAAACTTTTATTCGAGTAGTGAAATAAATATGCAGCTCTTTGTTATTACAACTTCTTCGGCACAACCAACTTATTTTCTTTATTAATATTATTATTACTTCTTTATTTGGTTTGTAAATCATTTTTAAATGGATGGAAATTTTTAGAGGCATTTCTTGTTACATAGATTATATTATCGCCATTACTCTTAATTTTTAAGAATAGAAAAAAAATTGTAAGAGGTTGTAGAATTTGGAAATTGATTTACCTGACGATCCATGAGCCGTGATGGAACCAGAATTGTTTCTTCCATTAAATTCACCGTCTTAACAAACCTCTCGATGACATTTATTATGCTTTGGTTGGAAAATTCCTGGTCGTCATGGATGATACGACGCAAACAGTTCCTTTAATAATATTAAAAAATGCATCAATTAATTAAAAATGTATTACATTTCAAACAAAAATCTTTTGGTGGAAGTCTTCTAATGACTACAAACAGACATAGGTTGGCAGAGAAGTTCTTGCGATAAGATAAGCTAGTTACAAAAAGATCAACTATTTCTTTAATCTTAGTTTATTCTGAGTACAAGTTTTGAGAGAGATATCTCCTGCGGTCACATATATAAATGAATTGAATAAAATATTTGTTCCACTAATTTCCAGCCAGAACTGTCAACTATTAAAACTTCATGTTAAGTACTCAAAACATGTTATAAATTTGGTCGTTTGACAGATAAATTGACCTATGTACATGTTATAAAAAATATATTTTTATCTACTTGATAAACCATTCCATTTCACAATTGCATAAAAGGATCAGTATGAGCAAAGGTTTCTTTATATTAAATATTTCGTTCTTTCGTATCAAGAAAATGTACTTTCAATATACATACATCAAACTTTTAGAGAAAAATAGTCGTAAATTTTAACTCAAAAGTTCATGTAAATATCTCATACTTTATTCGTAACTTAAAAAAAACAAGCAAAATGGTATTTTTGTTTCAACAGCAACAAAACATTTTAACATTGTAAGGTCAAACAATAAATGATATCATTGGAGAATAAATTTTGGTCACTTTAACTTCATTTTCTAAAATGAAGCTTGAACTATTTTAAATATTTTTAGTATCTCGTATAGATGCCTGAAAAAACGAAGATGTTGGCGCTTAAACAGATTCTACACCACATGGCAACCTTAATTATTTAATCAAAATCTGATTAAATCAATTCAAATCGGAAAAGATTTTTAAAAGGTAGTTTTTTATAAAATACTTGAGCAAAATCAACGTTTAGCAAAAGTAAAGATTACAAGATTCATATTGCAGTTTAGAATCAAAATTAACCATGATTTTTTGTAGCAATAATCAAATGTTCTAAACGAATAAAACATATATACAAATGATCAGAAATATGTTGTGGACACCAATGATTGATTAATGATTTGAGTTTCGACCGTAAACTCTTCTTTCTCTTTTATTCGGCCTATCCTTTTTAATATTCATTTAATCTTACTCATATCAGAACTTCTGATATTCATTTAGAGAATCTTCTTTTTATTTTATTAGCATACGTAACAAATTTAATATCTATCGTTTTTGTGTGTATAGTTTTTCGATTTTCTTACATCTATGAAGCAGTAATACTGCTTGATGATTCAAAAAGCCAATCGTATCCGTGTGCGACGATTCTTCACTCTCCAAATACGATAAGAAAGAAGAACAAAAAAAAGCTGAAAACTGTCACGTTTACAGAACAATTAAAAATAGATATGCTAAATGTGTTAGGCTTAAATAGAAGTCAGAAATTCTTTCTTTAAATTTAGCTTTTTTCAGTGTTAATAATAAAATTTTGATAAAATTGTTAGTACTACTAACATGTCGATAACATGTGTTATCAAATTATTAATTTTAAATAAGATTTAGGTCAACATAATGTTAACAATCTCTTTTCAAATGGCATGAAAGAAACACAACAGAATTAATATTACATATGTTAATCTAACCAAAGGTGGTGAGATATAAAGTTATAAAGAATAACACCCATTCTTGTTACATATTTATATTTTATTTTTAAACAAAATCTTGCGCATTTATTTATTTATTTATAATTTGCTTAGTTAACTCGTATACAGTTTCACTAAGTGCCAATTTAAACCTCAATTAAAATGCATAAAATATTAATTGTTTTAAAACTGAATTGTAAAATTGTTTTCGAAGTGTTAAGAAGCAGAATCTTCTGAAAATTTAAATTTTATTACATCCCCTTTCAGTATGCTTATATGAAGCGTGCACTGTACTTGCTTCAAATATTTATTAATTACCACAAATACTAGTAGATTTTACTTTTACTTTTAAAACTGTATGATTTTCTCATAGGCTATTATAAGTATTATGTAGCTACTACTTCATACAATCATATATTCAAAAGATGAAATGAATAATATCGTGTACCAAAACCACACATTGGTGTCATGTTGACAATTGGGCGACATTTCGTTCAACTTTGAATAAAATATTTTATTTGAACATATTTCAGTTTTATGAATAATTAATTTTATTGTGAACCATCGAAGGAACATAAAATGAATCATCACATAATTATTTAAGATATACTTATCTAGTCAATATTAGATCGAATGCACATACAGCAAACAACAGAAACAACCAAATGAATCTGTTTACTTGATGTGACTATAAACAATCAAACTCAGATATCTTTAGCCGATTACCTCAGATTAGTTAAATACAATCTCAACAGCTAAACACTTCTTGCATTATCTCATTGATACCAAAGAAAAACATTAAGATTATAAGTACATATATTTAGTTTAACTATGGGGCTGATTTTTCTTTTTTTTTGGTTAATTTTTTGTTTGAAAGAAAAGAAATTATAAGTTGAAGTCATGGCATAACACAGCAGTAATAGATATTTTATCAATATCCACATTATCCACGTGTAGCTCTTGCTGAAATCGTATGCGTTTATTCAGGTTTCGAAACAACTTTTACTTGGTTAGTATTGTTATTTTCTAGATCAATTGCAAATTTGGATGCAATGAATGAAATGGCATAAAGTCACAATGATTACATTTCTTTTTCAATTGCTTTTTATGAACCAAAATCTTTTTAAAACATTAAAATTACTTTCATGAATTAACAATTTTGCCTATTTTCAAAATGTAAACTTTTTATTTGTTTTTGCTTTTCCACAAATTAGAGAGTTGTCAAATTGAGATGCTATGTACAAAATTCTTTATTTCTTGCATTGGCCCTTGTCAACAAAATTCTTCTTTTTTGCCTACTTATTCTGCTCAAAAGACAATATTGGCTTGTGGAAGATTGTTTTTGTTTCGCACATTGACAAATACCATTTGAATATTAATGTATGTGCATCGGAAATGAAGGAAGTCGATCAGGTGTTAGGTAGACAAAATAATTTTGCTTTCTCTTTATTTTACAATCAAATCCTGATGAAATTAAAAACTTTTATTTCATGAAAAAAAATACCAAAATTTCTTTCAGTTATTTGTGTAAAAATTGCTTTGTAAAACTTTGTAAAAAAAACAGTAAAGCAGACAAATTTAAACATGTTGACTAAGACAAAGGTTACACATAAAAAGGTTCATTTCTTCCAACTTCAAACTAAAAACCACACAATGTTCTGCTCAGTCTAAATTTACAAATTTTATAACGACAAACTATCACTTAACATGAAATAACTTTACTCAAGTACTTTATTAACTCTTTACTCGATTGAACTGTTTATAAATTAATTTCATTTTTGTAAACTCGCATTTAAAATGTGTCAACATTTGAAAAAAAATGTGAAACAAACAATCTGACATATTTACATTTTTATTCATTATGCTTTTTTTTGCTTTTGAGTGCAGGTTTTTATTTTCTTCAGACAGTGCGTAAATATTTTTCGACGCGTATGCACTTTTCAGCTTGTTTTCTTTTTATTAAATTCTAGTTTCTATGAGTCTATAGAGCATTGCTATCCCATTATTGGTTTCGTCAAACTCAAGTTAAATGCAATTTAACTTGATGTTGCACAGAGCGTAATATTTATGTATCTGTATTGAAAACATAGGACAATTAATTACAACATTGCTCATTCACCTAGTTTACTTTAAAAAAAATTAAATTTTCGAATTTGGACAATAAGCCATCGGTTTGAGATAATTTGTAAAATTTAAATATAAAAGCATGAAGTAAAGATGTGAGAAATATCATTGGATTATCTAATAGTATATAAATAGAAAAATACGAGCAATGTGATATCAAAAGATTGTGAAACCAACCATGATTATTAACATTTTACTATCAATATTTTATTTAAACAATTATTCAAATAGAGTAGTGAACCAGTGTAGACTAGAAAATACATTTGACTTTGACTTTGACTCTTAACAACTTTTTATTCCTTAAAGCTAAAAAAGTGAGTTAATAATAAAATGATAATATATTTAAACAATGATGTTGGAGAATTCTTATAAGACGCTTCAAAGCTTCACTAATTTTTATTGTTTTGTGAAAGTTTCAGTGCAATCGATAGTGAAACTTCTTCAAAATGAAGAGAAACAATTAAAATTATCGCAAACTTCCAGGAGTTTGAAAATAAACATTTGTAGAAAATCCAATATTTTTCATTACATAAAATAGGAATAAAAATTCTTGTTATCACTGATTTATAATTCATCATGGTTTTTATCATTGAACAGTGTTAAACTAGAAATATAAAAACTCCTTAAAATACTTCTTTGTTGTTGCTTGTAGCGGCCTTCACATGATTTTATTTTCATTTCATTTTTTGTTGCTTCGAAATTAAGCAAAAGAAGAAAAAATCAAACACACACATCTTTGCTTGAATGTCTGATATTCCAAGTTACATAAGAAGAAAAATTTTGAATGTGAAAAAACATTAATTGATGAAAAAAAATAAAAAGTCACAGCGATCGATGGATGATATCTTTTACTCTCTTTATTCATTAAGTATGCATTTGTTCTTCCATTTTTATAAAAACTGCACACCTAAATTTCCCATCCCATTGAATTTCCCAATTATCTAAATATCTCGATATCATGCAATTTTCCAGTCGCGTGCTTTTCTCGCATTCTGATTGGCTGAAATTCTTGAATCATACGATACACAAAGGAAACAAAAACCACTGTAAATATAAAGATATATACAGAAGTGGAAGTAAAAAAAGAACGGTTTCAACACACTCATAATTCAGAATGATTCAATTTTACATAATTAACATTTTTATGAAATATATCGATGTAACGCAAGTAATGTTGAAATGTAGGAAATATTTTTCAATTATATAGAAGAGATAAAGTTTATCTTACCGGCTGTTTTCAATGTTAGACATGTCTGTATATACATTCATTTTGGCGGATTTCACGATATCAGAACTTTTTTAAATACAATAACTGAACGGCTTCTTCTTTTAACAATTTTTTTCTTTCTTTTCTTATGATTTCACTACACTTGGTTTATTTTCTAAAAGTTTCTCCTGGATTTATTCTTATAAATCACGACTGCTTTTAAAAGGTTGTTTCCTTTTCTCTGCTTCAGAATATTTTTTGATATCGAATTTTTCAACTTCTTCCAAATCACGAAAAAGAAATATAAAATATCAGTATTCTCACTGTTTCAAACTTCTAACATCAAATTTCTAATATGTTTCATAACTTTGAAGGTATAAATGACAGTCAAAAGAATTCTGGATAATTAAAAAAAATAATTCGAATTTCTTGTGAGACCTTTTCAGACTGAAACGATGGAGCTGAATTTATGAACTAAGAGGATTCTCAAATGTATGCGAATCAAATCTCTCTCCATTTTTTGTGAGAATAAATAAAGCTAGTAAAAATCCCCGTGAAATGATGGATTAAAATTTTAACGAAAATTCATCATCATTCGTCCCTGAATTCAACCATCGTTCAACATTTCATGTCAACGTTATTGTTACCGTATCATTTTAGAATTAACTTGCACAACCTTTTCAAAATAATAACAGCGATTAAGATTAAAAAGAATTATCCCCGAATTTTATTTTTTTACAACCTAAGTAGGTAGATATCGCAAGACACGGTTGAACCGGTTCGAAATAAAAACACTTCAATTCTCCGTTAAAAATTTATATTTTGACTTACTCTTGGACTTATTGAAACTAAGAATCACAAACCTTAATTCAAGTTCTTTTATGAAATCTATCAATATAACGATATAGATAAAACGAAGTGAAAATATTGTTCAGATAAGTATATGTAGGTATATTGTTTTTTATTTCCTTGAAATTTCCAAGCAAATCAGTTTATAACATTCTTGTCTAATTTTTATAATATTTATATTATGTATCTAATGGAATTAGTTGTTTTGCATTATTAAATTTATTTATCAAATTCAATAACTTTACCCTCGTAAATAAATGTTTATTCAATGCACATGGAGATTTTAAATTCAATTAACAAAAAGATAATTTTCGCTTAATTTGATGTTTTCCAGTTACATTCAAAATATTATTTCTATATGATACTAAATGTATGGAAGTTAAATTTGCATGTGTTATAGGTATTTGATTATTTAAAAGAATTGTTTCGAGATTTAATTTTCATTATTTCAGAAATATTTCAAGAAGAAACAACACGAAACGAAATTTTTTTGTCTCAGGGTACATTTGTTTTCCCATTTTCTTTAGCTATTTTAGACTTGATAATACAATTTTTAAGCTTAGGAGAAGGAAACCTTTAATTATACGTATCTAAAATAAAATCCCAATTAGGTTTTTTTTTGTGAAAAAAAGTCACTCATTAAATTTGTGCATTTTTTTTCCTTTTAATATTCATTATTTCTGCAGTTAATTTTTTATAAAGAATCATAAAAGAATTAGATGAAAACATCTAGATATTCCTTTTGTGCTACTAAGGGCCTGTCAAGACTAAACAAACCGTACTTTAAATTGTATTTTCAAAAAATTGGTAGAATAAAATAGGAATTTCAAAATATTTGCAGTAATTTACTAATTCATGGAAAGCTAAATTAAAAAAATCAGAGACTTAAAAGTTTAGGAGACTTGAAACATCTAAAATAAATAAAACACTATTTCTAAGTGAGAAAATTTAAATAGACTTTCATTTTAATTAGATAACTTACAAAGCTATATTTTAAAAATAACTAGATCTCTTTGCATAAAGAAGAAATTGTGATTGACTTTTTAAAAATATCTATTTACTAAAAGTGAATATTTATGAAAATAGATTTTTTAAAATTTTCCATGAATTGATAAATCACTCCAATTTTACAAATATATAAATTTCATTTAAATGTTAGATCTCTTGTTAGATCTTATGTTTTGAATAAACTTGTTTCATAAATGTTAACATTAGTATTTTTATTCTAAATTTCATGCATTCAGATACCTAAATTTATGTATAAATATTCATTAATTTTTTCACATGTCAAGAAATGCATATAAGTCATCTGGGTTGTTTTCTTTCGTTTATTTTTTTCTGTCAAGTTTCATTGATAGTAAAAAATATTTATTTAAAAGCGCATAACATGATTAAATCGGCCTAATTGAATAAGCACAATATTAAAAAATTAGCAAATTTAGATACTTTAATTTTTCTGTATTCTTATAATTTTTAACATAAAATATTCAAATTTTGTCATTTTAACTTCTTATCTCTGGAAGAATCAATCAAGTAAATTTGTACACATAGGTAATCATTAAAAAGAATTCGAAAATTTTAATTATCTAATATGATAAGTTTTTCTGAGAAATGTTTGGAGTATTTCAAATTGTTCACTGCTCCTCGTTTAAGTTAAACTTAACAATGTTACATCTTTTATCTAAGCTTTCAAAAAAAAAATTCATTTTTAAAAACCGTAATGTTTATACATTTTTGAGTGAAAGCCTTTAGAAGAAGAAATTGTAAAAATGTTTCTCTCATTTTGTGTTTCAGGCTGGAATCGAATCCGAGTTTTCAGTTTGTTTTTACCTATTTATAAATAGAAATTCAAATCGTTGTAGATTAAATCTTTAAAGAAACAACATTTTCTATATGAGTTGAGGTGATTTAAACTGGTGGAAAGCCTTATGAATTTTGGAAATAATTGACTTAAAGGTTTTTATAACAACGATTCGAATAATAAAAATTACATCCAGCATTAAAATTTGATTCATAAACATATTAATATTGATATTGATAAAAATCGAGTAGATAGTACAATTAATTAATTTTTTGTTACGTAAAAAAATCTACATGAATGTATTTTCTCATGATTGGTTTTTCTTTTATAACATGTCACGTTTTGTGATAAGTATCTTAAAAGTTTAGTGCTTTTAAACAAGCCTTAATAATTTCATTACTTTTAGATATTAAATACATTTTACTTTTCTATCAACATATTTGAAAAATATTTAGTTGGCTTTCTTCCTTAATTTTATTATTAAATAATATGAAAAAACTATACAGAGTGCAGTCGATCGCTATTAGTGAAAGCATTATAAGAAGAAAAGCTCCATACACGACTACTCCCTTCAGCTTCCACTTAAAGCGATTCGACTACAGTTCAATAATTGATCGAAAAAAATATAACTTATTGAAATTTGAAATATCTAGAAAAAAATATAAAAATCGATTTAAAGATGTGAATTCTATTCGCTTTTATTTTAAGTTATCTTCGCTCAAACATTTAATTATAGGCCATTTAAACTAAAAATCAAATTTCAAAGCATGAACTTTTAAAATTTTGGTAAGCGTCAACACAATATTATCTCATTAGTAATTATCACAATGAATCTTCATATTTTTCGTACATGAATTTTTATAAAAAATATGTAGACCTTTCGATATTTTTTCTAGCGTAAAGTGATGACGAAATTTTTACAAACATTAAATCAGAAGAACTTTTTGTGAAGTTATCAATGGCAATATCTTCGAAAACTTATTCGATAATTTTATGTTCTTATTTTTCAATATTGCTCTAATGGTCTTTATCATGTGGGAAGCGAAACAAGATGGGACTTATATTCCTGTATTCCTAATTGCTTTAGTGTACTAACGTGCACTCCCTACTCTGATGATGCTGATGATCTTTATCATGCTTCATGAGGTGGTTAAAAACTAGGGTCTATCTAAACTGAGATATCTCATCAATAAAATCCCCACAATACTACATTAAAAAACCTTTCGCTAATGATTAAAATTTGCTGTTTTCATTTCCTGTTTTACACTTTTCTTTTGTTTTCTTTGTTCGAGTATTTTTTTATTTATTCAATATTTCAATTATTTTGTGAAAAATTCTTCTGTTAGTTATTTGATGTATGAAATGACTCATCATATTTCAAAAGACTTTCAGTTGTGTAATTATATTTAGATTGATAAATTAACAAAAAATAATATTCATCAAACATTGCTAGATCTCTTTAGAAAAAAAAATTTAGGTATCCAAATATCGGTTGATAATATGAAAAGTTTATTGAATATCTGATAAAAGCCAAGTTAGAAAATGTAGTGAGATAAGAAATTTTTCCATACTTCGATTGCTTGGTAGATAATAATTTAGTAGGTATTTAATTTTGCGTTTTTGTGTTGTTATCTAAATTCGATTTAAAAAAAGCTTGAACGAAATGTAGTAAATCGTAAACTTGTCCAGGCTTATCCTTTCCTGACTTCATGCATATGAAATCATCCAGACGATGTAGATTGGCTAAAAAGATATAGAAAGAATTATTTTAAATAAAATCAAATGATGTAAATATGTACATTCAACATTTTTGAAAAATTTGTCATCGTCATCATCAACTCTATCTAAAACGATAGTTTTCAAAGGCCCGTTGAATCGAGCTTTTGTAGCAACATCAGCTTTCATTATATATAAAGAGCTTTTTTTGAATTATATGTAACATCTAATTTATTCAGATCTAATATGATTTGCAATGAGTCACTAATAGGAACTTTTTTTGACGGCAATTTTTTTTTGATGAGCAACACCTTGAAAAATGCCAACCGGTGAATATTTTCTATCCTTCAATATCTAATTACAATCAAGGATTTTTAGTGAAGGAATGAAATGTTCACGTTTTATAAATTTAAAGATCATTTCGTGAGAATGTACTGCGAATAAATGGAAATTTGCTTTTTATTTTTGCAGTACGCACAAATCACAAGATTCATCGAAGAAAATGAAAACATAAAACTATGTAACACAAACTTTTTCACATAAAAATTCATTCCTTATCCGATTGCAATTTTATTCCCTTACTTATGCAAATATGGTAGCGAAACAAATAAAACAATTATTATGACGTTTGTTTTGAACTTCTTATAATCATAATTTTTTTTATAAAAAAAAGAAAGTTTCTTCAAAAATAAAAATTACAAAAAGTAGACGAAATAAATATATCTACATAAAAAATGTTATGCTTTTGTCATTTTATTAGCTGATAAATATGTTTAATTCATCGGAAGGAATACCTCAAGTAACATGATACTCACACATAGTTTGTATTGGTGCATAGGATGGCGGAGGTTTTATCCAAGATCCATCTGGTCGTCGCATATGTCGTCGATCAGATGAAAATGTAGTAAGATATACTTCTGCTGGAATAACCCTAAAAAATCTATTATATGATAGAAAGATATAAACATAAAATAAATAATTATTATATAAATTTAGATTTTCATTAAAAAATGTAGATACGAACTTAAAACAGATCTAATAATTAAGAAATATTTAATTGCTTATATTAGCAATCTGAGTCAATTGATTTAAAAAAAATAAGTTACCTATGATGATCTTCTGATACCGCATAATCAGAACGAAATGTTTCTGTCACGTATTTATGAAAATAGGTTGGAAACGGTAATGTCGTATCCAAGTCAAACACTAAACATCGATTCAATGATGGATTATGCATGAAAAACACATGATAGTCCTGGAAAAAATATAAGGAAGAAGATGAAAATTTTAACAAATACAAAATTTATATATAAAAACTTAAAATCAAACATTTTTTTTAAAAAATGGTTGTCTTATCGAGTGAATTTTTTATTGAAAGCTTTTCTTATCAAGAGTGCATTATATACAAAAAAAAGTGTCGACTGCAACAAATCTTGTCTATACGTGAAAATGTCAATAATAACGAGAAATAATATATGAAGGATAAATATAGTCTAAAGAAAGTCTCTTCTAATTATTTATTTTTAATGTTCAGTTGGCTTACCCAAACAACTAGTTTCTCTTCACCACGACCCGCTTTTTGTCTCCATAGTGGTACAGTTCGTCGTTCATTTGACACGAATACGGCATAACATTTTGATAATTCATTTGGATGTTGCTTCTTTACTTGTTCGCATAACTTCCAAACATTTTCCTCACTAAATGTAAATTACAAAACAAGAAAGAAATGATGAAAATTTATTAATCAAAGGAATTGATTTTTTTTAAATCACAAACCGTGTTGCAATTTAAGGAAAATGATTTGAACAACAACATTAACAATATGCACTTTTTTTTCAGATAACTTTTCGACATTTTATGTATCTAGAACTTAATGTATGAACATGAACTTAAATGAAGAAAATTGAAAAGTCAAGATGATACCAAAAAGAATTAATTTCGTCTCTTGAAAATATGTCTCAAATAGATCTAAATTTTGCTGTTCATATAACTAAATGTAAACAAAAATAAATAATTATTAAAAAAAATAGTTCCTTACATGAAATAAAAATGATTTCTTAGATTACAAAATGCAGATAATGTTAATTAAATTGGAAAATGTTTTAAATATTGGAAAACTTCACCTATCTTTGAGAAGCTTCATAGTTATACTTATTTAAAGATATCCGAATAGCACATCGGTGATACATGATTGTTTTTAAGAGCTTTCAGAAATAATAGAAAATGAAACAAAATTTAAAACTCATACATTTTTTGTTTATCTTAAGTATGTTTTTTGTCAAAGCTCGGAGGTGCTAACTTTCATCGTTTATAGACGAGTGAGAGTTAGATGATAATACATCAATACCTTACAATTTGTAAGGTTTCTTATGCAATAAGTTGATGTGTTTTAAAACTGGTAGTGTGGCCGAGTGGTCTAAGGCGCTGGGTTTAGGTTCCAGTCCGTTAAGGGCGTGGGTTCGAATCCCACCACTATCAAATATATTTTTTTATTTTTTTTTCATTTTTCTTTTATAATAAATATTCATATCTAATGCTTCGTAATACTAATTAAAAAATTTCATACTTTCAACATTAAAACATTAAATCATCAAGCAGTGTCTTTGTTAGTCAAGTAAGAAATATAACATTGGAAATATTTTTTTTACTACCAATTATTCCATGTTTAAGCAAAATACTGTTTGAATGAAAGTTAAAATTGCATAAATGTTAATTTAAATTTATTTTGTGTTGGGATAAGAAGTCGACTGCCACGAAATAGTAGTACTGTGAGAAAATTAAGCATATCGACTTATTTGTGTTTCGTTCAAAGAAAAAATGCTATTTTCTATTAATTTTATTTAGGCCTACATACACTATATTCTAATGATTTCAATCAACAGGTTACTTTTTTCAGATTATAGTGAAAATATGGCTACCTAGGAAATTCCAAGGAATTATGTTTGTATATATAATACGAAAAAGGAGAACTTCTAACTATATAAAAATTAAAAATGAAGTTTAGTATTACATAAAAATTCTTCTGGTATTAAAAATGTAAATATTGTTGATTTCAACCAACTATAAAGCAGGACTAAAACACCGAGTACAAATATAAGAAATCATTATAATCATAAGAACAAGAACGAGTTTTTCTTAAATGAAACCCTTCATTTAATCGTTATGAAAGATTAAATTAAACTTTAATACATTTTTGCATAGATATATTCCAACATTTAAAGCTCGAAAGTTATTTTATTTTTTTCGAAAACATTTTCATCTAAATTTGTTTTCAACTTGAACTAGGTAGGAACGTAAATAAAAAATAAATAAAAAACTTACCAATAACAAGATACATAACTACAATCCTGTTGCTTGAACAATATGAAATTATCATTGTTAGTTGATGTCATCTCTATTTAGTATCCTTTTTTATATGGATACGTATCCTATTTTTTTTTGTGATATTTTTGATATTTCGCGGTTTCCCTTTAATAATTTTATTATATGAAGGGTGTTACATGAAAAATTCTTTTTTATTTTGATTAAAATAATTTAACTTTTTTCCTAACTAAATCTTTGTAGTTTTAATTTCTCAGCACTTTAAATATTTTTATTAATTCGCAATTTCATGTATACTAAATGAAAATGTCATTTCAAAGTAAATGTTTTTCTATTATGTTTATAAAATGTTCGACTCTAAGCAATATATCTATTACTATTTGCAGTAAATGCATGCAAATCCTTTAAAATTCAATATTTTGATTACAACAAATGTTTTTTTTCACTGTTGAATTTTTTCAAGTGGTGGGGACACAAAACGAAAAACATTAACTTTTTTCTCCAAATGAAGAATTCCAATGAAAAAGTGTACGTCACAGTTCAAAAAGTGCCCGTTCAATTGAAAATATCAGTTAACTTTTCAATAGCATTCAAAATTACTACCTACCTACATTTCAAAAATTTGGGGGAAATCTTTATAAATTTTATAAATAGCCTATATACTAAAAAATTCTAACATTTGCTGATATAATATTTAAGATTTCTTTTATTCATTGAAATAGAGTAAAAAAGCAAATGAAAAAATGTATATTTTACACTCATAAACTGTCTCGGCACTTCAAAACCATATAGGGAATAATTTCCTTATACCTAAATAAAAACGTCGATTCTATACACTCTCCACCTAAAACTGCACCTCCGGAAGTTATTTTCAGGTGGAGAGTGTAATATTCTTCAGAATGAGATGGATCTTCGGAATGAGATGGAAATTTCCTCCTTTAAGTATGAAAAACTGAATTCGGTCTACGTCGGACTTCTAACCAGGGCTTCGGTCCGCACCTATTTTTCTGTTCCGGAACAGGAAACGGATCTTGAACGGGACCATGAACTTGTTCCGGAACAGGAAACGGACCTTAAACGGATCTCGGAACACGGACCGAAGCGCCGCACCTTATTTTCTGTTCCGGAACAGGAAACGGACCTTAAACGGATTTTGGAACACAGACCGAAGTCCGCTTCTAACTTTTATCGGGGTACGCAAGAATAATACGAGATTTCATTTTTGGTCATATGTACACGATATACGAATGATAAAAATTAAAGAATAATGAACAAAATCATTTTTTCAATTGGTTATTTAAATTGGAGATGGGCAAGCCTCACATGGGCAAGCTTCAAATTATGCCACAGCATAATTTTAAAGATACTCCGGCCTATGCAGGATTCTAAAATGTATAATTTCTCTCACCTAATTAAATAAAATATGAAACATAAATGAAAGTGTTGATGTTGAGACTTGTCGCATTCATTCAAATCACTCACTCCCTCACTCACTCACTTACTCACTCACTCGCTCACTCAAAAAAATCACTAATTACCCTCTTGGGACGTTTTGAGATTTCATTTCCAAAATTTTTCACCGATGTATGAAACTTCTTAAAACTGTTATGAGTCATACCTAAAGTCTTAAAAAAATCACTAATTACCCTATTGGGACGTTTTACGAGTACAATTTCCAAAATTTTTCACCGATGTATGAAACTTCTTAAAACTGTTATGAGTCATACCTAAAGTCTTAAAAAAATCACTAATTACCCTCTTGGGACGTTTTGAGATTTCATTTCCAAAATTTTTCACCGATGTATGAAACTTCTTAAAACTGTTATGAGTCATATGTACCTAAAGTCTTAAAAAAATCACTAATTACCCTCTTGGGACGTTGTGAGATTTCATTTCCAAAATTTTTCACCGATGTATGAAACTTCTTAAAACTGTTATGAGTCATACCTAAAGTCTTAAAAAAATCACTAATTACCCTCTTGTGGCGTTTTGAGATTTCATTTCCAAAATTTTTCACCGATGTATGAAACTTCTTAAAACAGTTATGGGTCATATGTACCCAAAGTCTTAAAAAAATCACTAATTACCCTCTTGGGACGTTTCGAGATTTCATTTTCAAAATTTTTCACCGATGTATGAAACTTCTTAAAACTGTTATGACTCATACCTGAAGTCTTAAAAAAATCACTAATTACCCTCATGGGACGTTTTGAGATTTCATTTTCAAATTTTTTCACCGATGTATAAAACTTCTTAAAACTATTATGACTCATACCTGAAGTCTTAAAAAAACCACTAATTACCCTCTTGGGACGTTTTGCGAGAACAATTTAAAAAATTTTTCACCGATGTATGATGTCACCAACTGTCACCACCTTTCACCAACTGTCACCAACTGTCACCACCTGTCAACACCTGTCACCAACTGTCACCATCTGTCACTACCTGTCACCATCTGTCACTACCTGTCACCAACTGTTGACACCACCTGTCACCAACTGTCAACACCTGTCACCAACTGTCACCACCTGTCACTCACTCACTCACTCACTAACGCCCATGCACCAACCTATCAACCACTCATACCCGTTACTCGTTTAGAATTTAAACTTTAGATATTTTGCCAAGTTAAATGATCTCGAGATTAGATTAAGTTTAGATTATAATCTAGATTAGATTAAAATCAGGATTAATTTGGGGTCAATTTGTATGGCAGGTACCTGAAATATTGAAGGTACAGACCCCATTTTCTCAGAATATTTGTCCCCCGATAAGAAACTCATCTTCCCAAAATATTTTCAAGATCGCTTGAGAAATGTGGAAGTTATTACGATTTCAAAAAGTTACAGACATACACACAGAGTCGAAATCCGACGTCGAAAAAAAAGTTAATTTTTTTAACTTTTCTCAACGTTTTATGCTATTTTAAGCATATTTAAGCAAAAAAAATTTTTGAAAATTTTTTGCCGGTTTCAATACGATGGCCCATGTTACCATGTTATGGTATGGGGCCGTCGTAAAAGATTTTCCCGTACACTAAAGTGTTTTCCAATTTCTTTTCAAATTTTCAAAATGGTTAATTTCTGATTGCTCACAGAATACAAAATTCTGAACATTTTAGCTTCTTAAGTCCACGATTCGTTTTTCATGTTTTATGACTTAATAATAATAATAATAATAATTTATTCAACAGGCTCTAGTCAGCCCAAAAGAACGTCAATTTTGTACAGCAATAAAAATAAAAATACATTACGCAGCTCTTCAAAACAAACAAAAGGAAACTTTCAGTCAACAAGACTTGCTTTTGACATGATATTTAAAACAGATTTTTTCTTACATTTTTGGATCATCAAGTGTGAAACGATTAACGGAATCGGGGGAAATATTTACAATAAAATATTCGCTCACTGTTTACTAAAGCATTATTGATTTTCTTTCGATATATTCACTCTTATTAAAATGTTTAATTATAATTTTTAAGGAAAAATGTGAGCCACGAGAAGTGCTCGTCGCTTTTATTTATTATTTATTATTGTCTCAGCCAATCAAAAGACTGAGACTATACTTACTATTTGTGATCACCCCCACTCCATAAAAATGATCGCGCAAGGATTTTTGTGTAATTCCGTAGTGAAAAAGAAAACCCCAATGGAGCTGACCCCAAACAATAATATATTGTAATGTAAAATCAAAACGCAAAGAAAGCACAAAATAAAAAAACTGGAAAAAGATTAAAATTTGATAAACATTTTCTGATTAAAATTTTTATGTTTTTCTGAGATGAATTTGTTTTATTTTTCAATAAATAATCATAATTTTTTAACCTGTGTGTTTCAACTGTTATAGATAGAAAACATGTTGATAAAATAGTTTTTTTCTTTTCCTTTATTTCTTATGATTTTCACATCAACAGTTTCTTTTATATTAAGATATGTCAAATACATTGAAGCTTTAAAATTTAAAAGCATCATTGGGTGAATCATGTAATCTTCTTTCCCATTTTTATATTTTTATTAATTTAAACAGTAGTGAGAAAAATATTGGAGAATTATAAGTTTAAAAAACGAACTATGTATTACCGATCAATGAATAATGATTAAATTACCTTTCCGTCTAATAAATGTTTGTTGAACTTTTCTTATCTAGTTTTGTATCTTTTCTATTTTCCGAGTCCTATTCGTGTTAAAACGGGATCATAAAAGTTAGAATTTTGATGTGTGTCTGCAATAATTTGGGAAGAAATCTAAATTTTACATTTTTATATTACCAGAATGTGTGATATTTTCAAAAGTACTGCAGGTAATACCTGGCATCTTATCCATAAGTTTTCTAATGGGCTGTGGCGATTTATATGCTCGAATCTGTGATAAAAGAAATTTTTGAATAGATGCAAAAAGTTTCAAAACTATAATATCTAGATATTCCATTTATCTAAGTTTGAGGCTCACTGTGTTTATAAATGCGATAGAATGTCCAATTGGATCACGAAATCGGTTGTCATTGTCCCCTAATAATCTCATTTGATTTGGTAACAAATTTTTACTCTCCATTATGTGTATATTGTTTGCCAAGTTGCCAAAAAATCCATTTAAATTCCCAAGCGCATCTGTCAATTGAAACTTTTCTATATAGGTAAATCCAGAAATTTTAGAAATGTTCGTATAAACAATAAAAAACCAATATCAAAACGCGATACAAGAAAATATTGAAAGATTTAATGAAAGCCTTCATGCTTCATAAATCAAGATGAGTGATTTGAATTTATGATTTAGCAATTTATATTTCATCAGAACCATACATGATACCATCTATCAATCTAGTGATTATTGAAAAAAGATGGAATTTAACAATTTATGGCTATTTAAGGAATAAAAAAAATCTAGATATTTATTACTTTTCACATATATCTAGATATTTGTATAAAAACAAATAAAACTTCAAATACACCTATTTTTCAATGTAAAATATAGAATATTGAAAAATAAATTATTATAAATATCCTTCTTTTAATTGAAAAAACACAGTTAATAGGTGAGTTTTAGTTTTGAATTTTTCATAAAAAATTAATCCTCAACAAAACATTACTGATTCAAATTTCATATTTATAAAATACTAACCGACTGATAAAACAGGATTAAATTTTAGTTTGTCCTCAACATCATCCAAAGCTTTTGAACGTCGAATTTTTGCTTGCAATGCACTTATAATATTTCTTTTATTGCTGGATTTAAATATTTCCCCATATTCCCGATTGTAATCATGATCATTTGAGGAAGCTTTAAGAAATATGCTGCTATTTTCTTGATTGTTGATTGAATTTCCTCTGGGTACTTCAATGATGTCGTAATCGACAGGAAAAGCTTGAGTTATTGCAAAAAGCGCTAAACAAAAATGAAATTTTATTAAAGTCTCGATTAAGTTCACTATGAAAAGAACCACCAAAAAGTTATATCTATCTATGTAAATATCTATATTATTTTTTCAAATTTTTGATAACAACAAATATGTTTGGTCACTCAAAAATTTTTTCTCAAAATAAACCTTTTTCATAATTTAATTACGGAGATAGGCGTATCTGGCCATTCTTTTTCTATGTATGTAAAATTATTTATAAAACCATTAAAAATAACTCAAAAATTAAAATTTGATTGATCATGAATACACTAAGAAAAAAAAAAATTAACTACACTTAATATGATTTTATTTATTAAGGATACTCACAAGCAACAAAGACCAAAAATGTTAGTCTGAAGTTATTCTTCTCCATTGCACTACCATCACACAAATGAGAACACTTTTATTTTTTTCTTCCTTTCTTTTTTCTTCCAAGGTTCAACAAATGCTTTAACAAAAATATCCTTCGCTTTAAAGAAATTTATGAATCCTTCGACAACAATTACCAAATTATTTAAAACTTTTATCTACTATGATGATGATATTTAATAATGGTTACGACACAAACAGACGATTCGCGCACCACTAGACGACTAATGCTACTGAAGCCTTTGAGCAATGATTTTATATACGAGCAAGATGTGTTCGTTTATGGTTCAGGTGCGTAATGAGATATAAATTTTGCTATCCTTTTTCTGCCATTCGATTACTGTTCTTATATAACCTAACATCGAAGCGTACATACTACATGAATACATGACTGTAGAACCAACTTGTTGACGTTAGAAGTGAATCTCAACGTTAAAGAATCAAGCATTTTATAATGAATTTTTTATACTTGATGGACATTTCGTCAATACTACCTACTTGGTAGATATTTTTAAAACTTTAATGAAAAAGAAAATACTATGAGTCAATACAAATGAACTATCTAAAATTTTGAAGAACATTCATTCTATTTGGAGATTTATATAATTAATCTTATTTTACATACTTTTAATATTATATTCATTCACCTTTTACTTGGAAAACATCTGAATTCCATCTATTAAATAAAGAAAAAACATTCAGGAAATAATTTCATCAGGATTCTAAATAAAACTAAAATGCGTAAAAAGTTTGATAAAAACATCTACTAACAACAAATAACGTGTAAAGAGCGATAAATTCTTTACTTTTAACTTATATTGCAAATTAAGTAATAGCTATTTTGATAAGCAAAGCTGTCATCACCAAAGCGATTCGATCATTATTATATCATTATTATATTATAAAATCACCTTTTCATATAAATTGAAAATAGAAAAAAGTGTTTCGCGTCTACAGTCGTTATTCGCTTTTAGAACTTTATCAGACTTTTTATTAAAAATTTCGAGCAATTATTATCTGTTCCTCCGTCCACAGAAAGGATAACTTCTTTTCTTGTCAAATTAACTGGATCAGATATTTTTAAGATAAAACAAAAAAATCCTTATAACCTAGTTAAGACTACATTTTTAAACAACCGTAATCAAAAGATATCTTCAAGTATTTGAAATATGTATTATCTTAAATTCAAAAATTGGCTTAAACATTTACATTTACATATTTATTTGCGTTAGAAGTATATTTATGAGTACATTACTAAATTAAAAATTAAATTTTGAGAACTTTTTATAAACCTTAAAATAAGAATTTCCAGTTATCAATTGAATTAATGAAGTTTATTAGATATTAAATTGAATTCTTTCTTTATTTTTAAGATAATAAACGACGATGAAATATTTATATCTAGATATTTTAGCTTTTTCAAAAATTCTACATTAGCATTTTAATTTTAATTGTACATTAAGCAATTCATTCAGTTACATAGTTAGTATGATTTTTATCCATATTTAATATATCAATATACTTGGTTAGACGTTTAATTAATTCATGTATTCATTGTCATCAAGTCCTGGAATCGGAGGTTGATTTCTGGCGATTCCACTGTTTGTTGTCGTTGTAGTTAATAATCTTTGTTCATCTAAGGCTCCATCAGGAACAAGTTTCATTAAATCATCAGCCGTCATATTTGCGAGACGACTTGGTTGATTATCATTGGAGGATACATGATCAATCATTTGCTCTTCTTGTGAAACATTTTGAAACATTGCAATTCTTTCGTCAATATCCATCATTGAGTTAACAATCGGAGGATGCTGTTGGTGCAGTGTCAGTTGTTGAGATAACGACGGAAAGCTTGATGATCTATATTCAATGTTCCCTATTGTTGTTGGCACATACTCTTCATCATCATCTTCGTCACCCTCATTAATATCGAGAGATTTTGTTTCATTCCCTTGTTTCGAAATTTTTGATAAAATTTCCGACAAGTTTTCTGGAACTTTAATTTTTTCAAAAATTCTAGTCGCTTGCTCTTCATTTAATTCCATAGCTTTTTGTTGGGCCAACGACTGAATCTCAAGTTGACGTTGCTCAATTTGACGTTGAATTATTTCCATTTGCGATTCCAAATCCTCATTTGTTGAAGTTTGTGTTGTTGGTTTTGAAGGAAATTGAGCGTACGTTGCCTCATCTTCATCATCAAATGGTGTGTAAGGTTCGTTCCCATCATCAGTTGAAATATCGTTGTGCGCTGAATTCAACAAAATACAATAATTAGTAATTAATATATTACTACTTATAAAGCGAAAAAACTTACATTGTTTGATAGATGTCAATTGAAGCTCATCATTTGAAAATTCGGGAAGGCCTATTGTTAATTTGCTGCCATGTTTATGTTTTGATGGCAAAATTTGAATTGGATGCTCAATAGCAACATTTTTTGAGATCGATTTTCGCACGATATTTGGCTTTTTAATCTAATATTAGAATAAAGATTTAGAATGAAGATTTTTTTTTTTAATTTTTGAACTGTTGCTACTTACCTTGTTATCAGATGAGATCTTTAAGATAACTCCAAGCAATAAATCAGGTTTATGATCTTCACCTTCAACAAAGCCAGGTCCAATTAATGGCAATAAGACTTTTGGAACTGGTCGATTTGCTTCCACTGGAACAACATAAAAATCTTTAATTTTTGGTGATAGAACCTTAATGACGCCATAACGTTCTCTCGAATGTAAATAACTAAAGAAGTTGAAATAACCAGCAACGTCGGTTGACGAAAATCTTAAAATGCAAAGTTCCTTGCCTGTCATCTTTTTCACTTTTTCTAAATAATCCCAAACAGTATGAGGCTCAATACGGCCAGCGATTTCAAGTTGTGCTGGAAGAAGTTTCAGAATATCATCAACATTTCCAGACACAACACTTGCGGTTACATCAAATGAGGCAACATCAGCCATATGCATGTTACCGCTATAAATTTCAATTGGAAGTCTTTTCTCTACTGGTTCAATCGTATCAACTGGCATGAAAACATTTGATGTTGTTGCCATTACATCAATATCATTAGTTTGAAGTTCAGGTTTTAATAATGTTCCTGTTTCTTCCTTTTTTTTCTCGGTTTTTGATGATAAAGTATCAAGGTGAACTCCCATGGAATCAAGAATTCTTCCAACAAGATCAACATCCTGTTGATCTGGTTGAATATGTTCAATTGATGTCTTAACATTATCCATAGATTTCACCTCAATATTTTTCGAATCCTTTCGAATCAATGATTTATTTGTGATAGATTTATCTTTTTCTTTATCTTTTTCTTTGCCTTTACTTTTCTCATGACGAGTTTTCTCACGAGATTTTTCTCCTGATTTCATTCGATCTTTTTCGTCATCGTGACTATGCCGACTACGATGTCTTGGTGATCTACTTCGATGTCTTTCATTCTTCTTGTGCTTTGACGACGATGAAGAGGATGATTTGTGATGGTGATGATGATGATGATGATGGTCACGTCCTCGTGATTTACTTCTACTTTTTGATCGATTATGATTATCACTCTTTCTAGCACTAGTTGATGATGTTATCGAAGGTGAAGAGAGGGGCGATGTCACGCTTCCACTTCCACCACTTGCATTAAGTGAAATTGAACGACTTAAATCATAACGACCATGAGGATCATCTACACTAAGAACTGTTTTTGCAATGACTGATTCAACGTCATCAACGACCGGTACAAGAATATCAGTTGGAGCTGATTTTGTCTCAATTATTTCCTCGCCTTTGTGTGTCTTCACAACAATTTTATTCTGTGCTAATGATTCAAGCTCAGATTTTGTGATAATCTCCAATTGATGTTTATTTTCATCTTCACGCCACTTTGCTAATTCTTCACTTGCTAATGCAGCTGATGGAAGTTCAACGAGTTGCTTCGGTGTCAATTTTTTTGCGCAAATCTTTTCCAATAAGGTTTTGTTCTTCACATCACCAAGGTTGAATTTTAATGATCGATATTTTGTCTTATATTTATCGCGCGTATCTTTATTGAAGAAAAGAAACATTTGACGTTCGGTTTCCTTTGAAAAGTCAGCAATTTCTTCGTCATTCATCCTAGAAATTTGTGGATGATCAAATTCTTGCATTCGATTCTTCAAGGTGTCACGAAGAATATTACGAACGCTTAAACGCTCTTGTTCAGTTTTACATTTGCCACTAGAGCTACCATATGATTGGCTCTCACTTTCAGACACCTGTCGTTTAATAACTTTCTTCACCACATCAGGCTTTAATATTTGAGATGACTTTTGATTTGCTGATGAAGAAACTGTCCCTGATATTGCCTGTCTTACATTGTTCGAGCCAGAGGTATTTTTCACACTAGCAACAGAACGAATTGCAACAGAATTACCAGAATGCTGACTTTGAGATGGAGATTTTTTTACATTAGCTACAATTGTTGGTGATGGTGTCGCTCCAGAATTTATTTTAATTGGATTTGAAAATAAATCTTCACCAACTGCTTTAGATTGTTGTTGTGATGTCGATTTTTGTGTTTGTATTGATGAAGTTGATGCCTCCGATTGATTGCGATTTCGGGCCAAAAGCTGTTGAGCTTGCGACGAGCCTGGCTTCACAGGTTCGTATGTTGGATTCTGATGTAACCACTTACCTAACACTGTAAAATGTGGTGATTGTTTCAACGGTAATATTTTTCCCGTCATCTTATCGTAAACAATCACCTTAATAAAAAGTTTATTATGACATTAAAAGTTATGTTATGAGCATCAAATAATTCATACTTACATTTCCACTCTTATCTTTCAAAACATTTCCACGTTTTTTCGTTTCAGGATTTGCCTGATTTAACAATGTTTGCTGATGTTTGGAGGGTTGAGATGATTGAGAATTATCATCAATATGTTTTGTTGCGTGATTTTGAATGCATTCATCACTACAATAAATAGAACTGTCACGAGCAGATTTCTGTTTACAAACGACACATACTGTTTTAGCAATATCTTCATCAGTCGATTCTTTTTGACTTTTTGCAAAGAACTTTGTAAGTTTCTGTTGATTTAAAGGCTTTTTATTGGGATCAATCTTCTTTGCATAAGTTCCACCATCATTCTCAGCTGCCCTGCAATTTGGACATCGCCATTCTTTTCCTTTTGCTTCAAATTCCTTCGCTGATGCTTTCGTGACGTTGACGCATTTCCCATGGAACCAATCCTCACATTTATCGCAACAAATCATAAAACGATTATTATGTGGTTGCTTGCAAATACACCACAATCGCTCTGGATCATCTTCAGAGTCCCAAGATGCATCAGAATTTAAGTCATCTAGATCGTCGTCAGGAGCGTCAACACTTGTACCAATGACACTTTGCCGTCTAATTTTTTTTCCACTTTCACTTTTATTAAGACTTGATCGACGGCTTGAGTTTCTCGAATCAGGATCTTTAGTTGATGGACTTTTTTCAGTTTTCACAACTTTTCCACCAACGCTTGTTGGCGTTATATTGGTAACTGTCACTAACGATGTATTTGGCGAATCCTCTTCTGCTCTTCGTTTTGCTCCTCGTGTTGTGGGCGGTGTAATGGGTGGTAGCGTAATAAGACGTCCATTTCTAACAATTCTTATCGGATTCTTTTCTGGAGCTTGTTTGTTAAGAATCTTTGGCATTTGAATTGATGTTGTTGTTGGAAATGAAACATTTTTAATGCTGGTACTTATGACATCAGATGCAATAGACGATGTAACTATTTCAGTTGGTGTCGAGCTTACATTATTATGAGGAGATTTCAAATTAATAATTGAAGAAGTTGTTGTTGTTGAAGCATTTTGTTGGGCTGAATCAAAGTTCATTAATTCGTTTTGATTAAGAATTTCTTCGAGTGCTTCATTTCCTAAAACCGCGATGAGCGCGTCACCTATTTCTTCCATTCCAGGTACAGCTCCATCACTTGAATCCATCTGTTCCAAACTTGATAAGCTTTGATCAATAATCTCTGCAGGTGTATTGTTTTCCATCATTTGCATAATGTTGGGAATGCTGCTGGTACTTGTGCTATTAGACATTGAGACTTTTTTTTAGTTTCGGGAAATGACTTTTCCAAATCTTTTACGATTGATTCAACAAATTCTATTTCCTGTTTACTCTTAGTAACTGATGGTAATTGTGCTGTGTGAACGGAAATTTGAGTCGGTAGTTGAGTATTGATGGATTGTGTCTTTGTTGTTAGTGGTACGAATTGAACTGTTGTTATTTCTTTAGGTACCACCAAATTGTTCTTCAAATTTGTTGGCATTGATATAACTTTCTTTATGGTACTTGGTTGGTGAGTATTTTTAGAAGATGTTGATAAAACGTTTTTTCCACTAGTTGATGGTCGTGAGGTGGATGTTTTCTTTGCTGTCGAAGTCTTTATATATTTCTTCTTTGGTTCATCATCGAGATTTGATACGTCGCCAGTCTCCAAAAAATCCTTGAAAGTCATCATTCTTTGTTTGTTCTTTCGATACTTGCGCTTTTTCTTTCCCTTTTTACCAAAGCGATCGTTGACACTGAAATCATGATCATTGTCATCATCGGACTCTGAAAAACTTATCTCCTCTTCTTCCTCTGATAGCTCCTCTTCAAATTCTTCATCCTCCTCTAATGTCGCTTCATCGTTTTCACTCGATTCCTCTTCAGCTTGTTGACGATTCATTTTTGCTAGTGAATGTTTCTGATCCCGCGTACCTGTTGTCTTTTGCCGCCCTTTCTTATTTGTTGTTTGTTTTTCTATATGTTGAGGCGACATCGTTAAAGACGTATAACAATGATCATTTTGCACGATTTCCCTACGGAAATTATAATCGATTGGCATTAAGCTTTGTGGATTGTCGATTCCTCCAAGATCTAAAATAGAAAATGAGTTTTTCAAAAATTATGTTTAAATAATGAAGATTAAAACTAACGCAGAACATCATTTGCAAACTTTCTTGCTTGACTGGGCGTGTAAAAGTTTTCAACATTTAAAGTGACATGCGGAATCTCATTATTCATTGTCAAGACAAACTGTTTCATAAAAGTTTCGAATTCTTCCTCGTCAATTTCTTCTCCCCTGTGAGCATCTAAATATTCTTGTCGTTTTTGTTCCAATTTTTCACCTTTCTCCTGATTAATTTCGTCTACAATGCTGGGAGTCGGAGATGTTTCACGTAGGATACTTACTCCCGTGTTAGGAAAACCTTTACTTGCTAAAATAAAAATAAAAAATAAATATTTAATCAGTTCACGGTCACAAATTCATATTTATCACGAATCACGTACTTAATAGATTTTGTAATGCTTCAGTATCAGTCGCAACTTGTCCGTTTTTATTAACGATGATCACTAAGTTACGATTTATTGGTTCATCATTTGCTATAATTCGAAATGTCGAGTGCGACATAATAATTTTATCTAACGTTTTAAGAACGCTTTTCTATATCTCTTTCTCTCTCCCTCGTGTTTTTTTCTTCCTTTTTATTTCCAAGGCGAAAATTACATTTTTGTTCAATTCTTGATATATATTAGAAAGAGAATGCTTTAAATTAGATGAAAAAGATATTTTCGGCGTGTTTTGAACTGATTGAAGTACTTGGAAAATCAATTGAAAAATATATTTTGGATAGTAAATTCTAGACGGTGGCTTTTTATTTTCGACGGTGAGCGGCAAACATTGAACGGTACAGTTCGTTTTGTACAAAAAAATTGTTTGCCGCTTAGCGGTATGAAATTATAGTGAAAAGTTGCGTATAAGCAAGTGAAAATAAGATAGTTGAAAATAAAGATGGAATTCTTTGAGAATCAAAGTAAGAAATTGGAAAAATGAAGTAGATATCCAAATATTTCTTATGTTCTATTAATTTCCTATATTTTTCTTTTACAAATTTGAACTTTTGTAGTTACATGTTCATATTCCCCGAAGTCAATTGACATTGATGATATTTTCTCAACTGAAAATACAGATATTGATGTTGATGTAAAGCCGTTTAATCCAGATGATTTTCTAAATTTGGAAGCATTTCACGATGTGAAACAGAATGAATTATTTCCGGAAAAAAATTCAATTACTAACAATTATAGTAATAATTTACAGCAGCTTACACCTCCTATAAGCCCGCAACCAAACAGTCAAATATTTATTGACAATAGTGCTTTACAAAGTATTAATTTCATTCCAGTCACCAAAGTGAAGCAACAAATACATTCAATTCGTAAGATAAAAAGCATTGTTCCTAAACCGTCCTCAACATCTTCCAACAATTCAGATTCGGATACAAACAATATTAAAAAAATAATAATAACCTCATGTTCTTCTGTAGACAGGGACTTCATAAAGAGACAAAGATTAATAAGAAATCGGATGTCAGCAATTAACTCAAGAAAAAAGAAGAATGAGTATGTTCAAACACTCGAAGCTGAAAATCTTGAGTTACATAAAGAAAACAAAATTTTGAAGATTGAAAATTTGCAACTTAAAGAAAGATTAAGATGCTTTAACAGACTTACGTGTCGTTGTGCAAGCTCATTTTCTAGCAAGCTTTCTTCAAAAAATGCTGTAGCACTTTGTGCTATTACACTGCTTATTGGCTTAAACATTTTAAGCTTCAGAAATTTTTCAGAAGAATGGAACTTCAAAAAGCATATTAAAGTTGGGGAAGTTTTTCAGTCAAGAAATTTATTGCATGGAAAAGCTTCTACAGAATATTATAAAAATAAAGCAGCTTCGAATGACTCTCTTTATACAGATGATCCGGTTATTTACTTTAATCAGACTGAACGCATTCGTAAAGTCAATATTGAAAATATTCGTCGTTGGATACCTGAGCCAGATTTAAACATTTCCAATTTAGCAAAAGGTTTTGAATTCAATCCAGATCCTTCGCATGACAAACTTGCAAAAATGTATGAAAAGTCACATGAACAAAATCGAAAGGTTTCCAGAAATAAAAAACGTATCCCAAAGAAGAAGCCTATGATTGGTCCTGTTCAATTTTATAATTCAAATTTGAACATCATCAAGCTCTACGAATTTTTCGACGAAATTGACCGGAAGGATGATACATTCTATGTTTTTTCATTCAGAGCCGAACATTTGCTTCTCCCTGCAATTGACAGTTCTTATAATTTTTCTCAAATTAAAATGAACTTAATTATGCCACAATATAACAATGGTAAGGTCCATTACAAATTTTAAGCTTGTAAAATTGAATTGATTATTTTACTTCACAGATATCTTAACGAAAAATAAAATTACAATGATGCAAATCGAAACAATCATCTTGAATACATCGCTCATCCAAATAAGCGAAAAATCAATCCCTGTAAATTTTTTAAGAAAAAAGAATAATTATAACTCTACAATGTGTAATGAAAGTAATGTGAATTTTAATTCACAAGAGAAGATTGTTAGAAGAGACATTAACGAAAAGGCAACAAATGGTGAAAATTTTCAAAAATTCCGAAAGAAAGCAGCAGAATTTCCGTCATTCTTAGATAAATATTATTTTTTTAAAAGGGATTCAAAGAATTGAATTTTCCGATATCTGACTAATGATTTCAATAAATTAAATTATATTAAAATTTTTAGCCAAATCTCTTTTTTAATCGTATCAAATTTACATTCTTTATGCAGCCTGAAATCTTCCCCAGTCCATCACATTCTAATAAACCTAATATTTATGTAAGATTGTTTTTTTTTTCTATAATTGAGTGTTCAGTTCTTAAATCTATCTCTTAAATTTAATGATTATCAAAAAAGGCTGATGTTTATTTCGGAAATTAAAGAATTGCCTAATAACTAGCTAGTATCCTCATATTTTTTTTATTACCAATAACACATTGTTTATTTTTGTTAGGTTTTCATAAGTATTAATGAAACAAGACTACCATTAGGATGATAATTTAGTGTCTGTTTTTTTTGTTCTACTATTTATTTTGTTTATTTACTAAATTTTTTTTTTTACTTTTTTTACTTATTTAATTTACATTTAAAGGTATTATTTATACTAAAAGAATACCTAACTAGTTGAAATAATTCTATTTTAATTTGAAACCGAAATTCACATTTTGAATTTTAACGTCACCGCTTCAAAATCTGAGTTTATATGAAAAATTTGCTATAAATTTATAAAAAGCAACATAAAAATGTTAACAAAATTTCGAATTAATTTCATTGCTTATAGCTTCAATAGAAGATATAGCCAAATATATTCGCAAGCTACTAGAAAGGAAGATGGTTCTCCAATTGAAGGTGAACTACGGTATTTATTTTTATTTCTCATCACGTTTTCTAATTTTGTTGTGACTTTTGGATGTAGAATTTCGCGTTTTGACTTTATACAAAACTAAGACGCATACACTGCAAAGTAGAGGAAGAAAACCTAAAGTGCAAGCTGTTCCACCACCACGGACACAACAAATGGCCATTGATCAGGATTGGAGCTCAGTTTGGCCGGGTCCAAAAACTTTTCATCCAGCATCAGTGCCTCTTCCGATAAGACAAGGATGGGTTAAAATTAATCGAGCTCCTCCTGGAAAATTTGCAAACGCAGAACTTATGAAAATTCCAAATTTTCTTCATTTAACTCCTCCAGTTATCAGCAAACATTGTGAAGCAATAAAGAAGTTTTGTACACCATGGCCAAAAGAACTCACCGGAGAAAAAGCAGAAAAAAAATTTCCGCTACGTGCAATAACATCTGATTACGTTCATGGCATGCCAACAATCAGAAATCATTTGTCAAGGATAGTAACAATAAAGATAAAACTATCAAACCTTAATTTGGATGAACACGCCAAGGATAAATTTCTTCGTTTTGTAGGTGAACGATATAATCCAGACAATGATGAAATTACAATCGTTGCTGACAGATGTCCAACGAAAAAGCAAAACCATGATTATGCAATTTATCTTCTGACAGCATTATACCATGAGTCCAATACTTTTGAAGAATGGGAAAAAGCAAAAATTGAAGCTGACATGGAAACATATTATTGGAAGGATAATAAATCTAAAATTTCAGCGACTGAGATTATTAATTGGAGATCACAATCGGAAGATAAAATTGAACCTCTCCAAGAATATGGAACAAGCGTCGAAAAGTTATTTAATGAGGGTGAAAATAATTATAATCTCGACAAATACAAATATGAAGTCTTGAAAATGATAGGAATCGTCAACAAAAATTCATGAATTCTTCATTATCATTTGTAATATTTTAGAATGAATGTAAAAGAAAAAATTGTAAATTAAAATTTTCATTAGAGCAGAACTGTCATGCATTCATTTCTATGTTAATATCTCTTTAACTATTTATTTATTAAGTACAATAGAAGACCTGCTTATAATCCATAACTTTTCTTAATATAAAATTGAAAATATTCACATTTTCGGAATATTTGATTCGTATATTTCGCGCACAGCAATAATTAAATAGAATTGAGAAATCCCGTTGTGTGATGATCGAACATTCAAGTAACATCTAAAATAAATTATTGAAACCTTAAAACAAGGTTGAACGTTCAGAACGGTTCATGATATTATACAACTGATAATTCTTCCTATTCATTCATATAGAAGATCAGATAAAAACTATAGAAACTTGGGATAAAACCATTGAAATTGGATTCCATCACTTCCAGCAGCATCACCACTGATTTCTGCTATGATTTATTATTTGGAAGCGCTTTTGCTTAGAATTTTCCTAATACATATTTGATCTCTTATAGAAAAAGTTCGTCTATGTCCATCGTTTATATCATGCTTAAGATAACGTAATTAATGAACTCATCAAAAATCATAATCGTTTACATTTTGTTGTTTACAAAACAATTACTGCTGGAAATGAAACCGATTTTTAGGTTTTTTTTCAATTATCTAACGCATTTATCAATTTTTTATTCAAGTTAACTTTTTTTATTTATATATAGTAAAAATTAAATTATTTTGAGCTGAAAGTGATATTTTTGTTTGCATACCCTCGAGTCGTCTGATAGGAATCATTCAAATACGCTGAAGAAAGCTCTTTTCTGAATGAAACATTATTGGCGTTGGGTCAAAATTTCAAATCTTTAAAAGTGTTCGGAAGATCAAAAACTTTATCTTTAAGTTGAGGGAGATTGATATTTTTCATAGCTGAAACAGCTTTGGAACTGGCTGCACTAACGTTGCCTGATTCCGCTTTACAGATCTTATTTTGCTCCTCTACTCGAGCAAGAATTTCATTCATATTTGTTTGAACAACCATTCCACTTTGTACAATCTCGTTGACAATAAAATGAATAACATCGCTATTAAAGATCAAATCGAGTTCGCATACATTTGAAAATGAACGATCTAGTGTCTCAACAAAGACTTGAATCAAGTCTAAGATTCCAAGTTCAGATTCGCTTTCATCACAGCAAAATACAAAGTACAATGTTGCATAGTGACGATATATTAATTTGCAATCTGAAGAAGCATTCATGAGAAAAGACGAAGGAAGTTCAAGAAAATTACATGTGCAATCTTCACGTTTACTTATTAATTGGAATGTTTCTTGAATTATTGTCTGCTGCTGTTGTTCACTCTAAAAAAAAGAAAAGAAATTATCTTTTTTCTTTTTCAATTTCATGAAAACGAAATTCTTTCATTTTTTTCCAAACTTACAAAATGCTGATAAAACTTTGATAAACGTGGTTTGCCATAGTTATTGAAAACAAGAACTGCGTGAATCATGATTGAAGATTACCTATATACCTATTTATTTACCAGATTAAAGATTTTTTAGTATGAGATATTTGCTATCGTAAACAAAATCTAGGTACTAACGCGTTACAATTAAGGAAATAACATTTCATTTAGAAATTCTTCATGACATTATATGGAGAATTACATCTCCAAATAAATAACAGTGACATATGTTAAATGCAGGCATTCCCTGACATAATGTAATTTTAATGAAATCCTATATTGTCTTAACATCCTATTGATAATATTCTCAATCGAGACAAAACATCAATAATTATTATTGTTTGAGATTGCATAGAGAATTTAACCCCTCAAAGTATGTAATGTAGATACAGTAGAAGCTCTATAAGCGGAAACTGAAGGGGGGAGGTCGTGTAAGGAGCTTTTCCGCTTTTAGAATGGCTTTTCAATATGAAAGAATTTGAAGGGGGTGGTTATGTTTGGGGATTTTCTCTCATAGAGCTTCCGCTTATAGTGCGACGACCGTAGATTTTTAAATGCTCATTTTCAAAAAGGGTATCAATCATCAAATATTTTTCCTAACTCCTTAAGGAAAATAAATAAAAATGATATATCAGCTGAGCTCCCATTCCTACATCAAGATTCAAAAGGGTATGCAAGTACTGCATAACTTTTTCCTTAATAACGCTTTCGAGAGACGTTTTTTAAATAAAATGTTTCCAATAAATATTAACAGTTTTTCCTCCTATATCGATTTGTGTTTACACATTTTTAATTTCTTCAGGTGTTTTCGAGATTTTCATTGCGGTAGATTGACGCTTTGAATTCATTATCAACAGAGGCGAAATGACTTTAGGAGAAACCATGTAAATTGAGATTTTAAAATTTTGAAGATCATTCATCATCAAATTCTTTTATGTAACAATAATACCTAACTTCTTCATTTTGACGCACTCTGTATAGATTTAAAATATATACCTAAATATAATTTTGAAAGAATTTATTAAAGCAAATTTCTAGATATTGGGTCTTTTCACTCTCCCCGTCTTTACGTTAGAGAAAATATATAAGCAGACGCTTTTTTGAAAGAACAATTAAAAGAAGAAAGAAATAAAAACATAAAACAAGCGAATAAAGAATAAAAGATTTTTATCATCGCTCTTTTCTTGATTAAATTTGAACAATTTTTATAACTTCCTCCAGTGAAACATTGAGATTGTGCAAAAATACATTGATAACTCTTTATAAAAAATATTTTCTCTCGCCGGACATTTGACTACCGTAGTAGCTATTTTGTTGAAAAATGAAACAGTTGATCATAGCCATTAAATGAGTTTTTACTCTACATATATCGAATAATGTCTGAGCTTACACATAAAGAAGCGATGTTAATCTTATTAAAGTCACTGATGGAATAAATATATCATAAGGACTTTATTATTTTTTGTTAGGTACTTGCATTAAAGCAAAGAGAGAAAACCTATTTTTCAATGCTTAATGATTTCAATTTTAACTATAGTCTGATTCCGTATCCTTGTAATAAAATAAACTCATTGACAGTTTTGTATTTTATAGTGAAGCATACAAATTCTTTGTTTTTATTTGTTATCGATTTTTTATATTGACAAATAAGAAATATGAATTTATTAAAAACCTACTAAACATTAATTTGTATCATAGTATATAGAGCTTTTAGAGATCATTGTACGAAATGTTATAAAACCCATACGCTATGCACTCCATAATATAGTCATTTTTATCATAACTTTTGTTATGACATTACACAGCAAGCGTTCTATGTAAAACATGCTATCATTGCAAAATAATGAAAAAAGGAATAAAGAAAGTAATCAGAAAAATAGGCGCCGATTTCCATTTTGGACCAGACGGCGTCTATCGAGATTTTTTTCATGATACTTGGCAACTAGGATATTAACTTTTGTTGGAGATACAAAATAAACGTGAATTGTATATCAACTTTTAGAATTTCATCCCCTTGCTCTGATTTTATTGAATGAAAGAAACCGACGATGAAAAATGAATGAAAGTAAGAATTGAAACTATGTTACTATGAAGTAAGGAAGAGTTATTTAATCTTTTAACTAGATAAGTGTCTCTATGATTTTCTAGTAATTGTCGCAGATGAAGAAAAACATTATGGTTTCTCACTTTATTAATCACCTACTTATAAACATTAATTGGGTGGTCTGAACATTTAGACACGGTACACTGACTGTCTGCCGCATTAAAACAATATCATGTTTTAGATCAGAAAAATTGGTAGAAAACTATTTTTCATAAAAAACGTGTTAAATTCACTTTCTATTGAATATTTATTGTACGATAATTTATTATACACAATATATTCCTGCCTGAAAACAAGAAGTAGAAAATAATAAATTTATAAATTTTTATGACAAGTGTTAAAGCAATATTGAAGCAAGGCATAAGACAGAAATGTTTTCCTTCGTTTAATGAATTTTCAAACTTATAAATTTAATTACATCAACGAAGACAATTTGAAACGTTCAAACGGTTTGACAGATGATTTGCTTTTGTCAAACACATAGGTACCAGCTTGAATTCATTTATAAGAAAATGAAATGAAACTTTTAAGAATGGTTAAGAACATTTTTTAAAAGTAGAAAAGAATAAAATATCAGTAAATTATTTAATTTGTTCATAATATCTGAAAATGAATTTTTGGAACCTTAAAATATTACTGAAATAAATAAAATATTTACTGAATATTGACTGTATCTTTTGTATTTTTCTATTCTGTTAACTCAGTAAATAGTTTATCTGTATGCAGTTTGCCCTGAAAGGAAAGCCGTTCGAAGAATTTACTCTTAATTTCCTTTGTATTCTTCAAAGTTTTCACAGGAAGATGAAACAACATATTAAATAATAATAATAACATTAAAAATTATAATGGCCAGGGATTTTAAGACGAAGCAGAAACAAGCAAAAAGTGAGAATAAAAAAGCCAAGGGAAACCTGAGAGGAAGAGAGCCGATAACAAAGAGAAGAGCGGAAGAATGCATCGATCAATTGATCGATTGGAAATCGGACGTAAAAGGCGACTTGCTTGGAAAAATGTTTCAGATGAGAAAGAGATGTTTTTTTATATTACACTATTGTGTTGACTGGTTGCATGTGCCTTACAAAAATAAGGCATTAAATTATATTGTCGAAACGTAAAGGTTTCTCAGTCTCTGCAAACGTTTTTAAGGTAAAAATTAATATTCTTTAATATTTCCTTTTTTTGTATGTATACAGGATCATTATTACAAAAGCGGTAGCAAAATGTGTGCGAATGTGTGTATACATTGCCAGATGTTATTGAAAATTTGAGTCTTGCAGAAGTTATCACTTTAATAATTAAAAAAAAGGAACAAGAAAGAAAAAACGGAGTAAATATTTGTTCAGTACTGTTATTTGAGATCTCTAAAATCTCATTCACTGAAAACTAAGTGATCCAATTATGACACAATTAACTCTGTATTTTTTCACAGAGGATTTGCATGAATCCTTCCATGTATAACGTCAACACTTTGTTTAATATATTAACAACATGAAACATTTCAACAAACTAATTTTATAGACATACAGTTTCAACTTTTACAGAAGTTCATCCAATGCTGACTCATTTTGAAATGATTGTAATTTGAGATGTTCAATCCGATGTTAACAGTAAAAATAATTTCATCCTTCTATTTAGTAGATAAATAAAATCATAAATTATGGATAACAAAAGAAAACCATGAGTGTAGGCAGGCCATTATGCGTGGGTGAAAGTGATGTTTGCGGGAACACAACAATGGATAAACTAATTAGAAAATGTATCATTTTTCTTTAATTCCACTATGTCAATTTGGAAAATTTGATCAAGATGAATTTCTAGATTGCTAAAAGGGTTGCTCCCACGCATTTTCGAATTCAGTTTAGAGACATTATTATTGTATACTTATTAATCCTACTCTTGTATGTGAGAGCAGACTCAGGAGGTTTCAGAGTGATAGAAAGTAAAAAGTAAAAAAAAATTCTTGGGACATGAAAACCTCCAAACCAATTTTTTCTTCTTCCAATTCCTTATTTGCATTCTCAACTTTTTGGTTCGAATAAAAAATAAATTTCTAAAAGATATTCTTATTAGATAACGACGAAGGCTCTTAGAACTTCTGATCCAAAATTTTTTAAGCATAAAGGACCACCTTTAAATAACTTGGACACAAGCCTAAACTCAAACTTAAAAAGGAGAAGTAGAAGAATAGTGAATTGAAGAAACCTCTCAAACATTTATCATTGATTCATTCACTTGCTTATATTATTATACATACCTAATATAATTTTTTCGGGAGTTTTTTTATCTTGTTTTCTTTCCAGTTCAATCACATAAATGTCCTCATTTTTAAATTTCTAACTTCTTATTTATTTTCGATCTAATTAATTTTAAATAACTATGTAGCCGAAATCGTTGAAAAATATTTTGACGCTGTTGCAAAGCGTCACCTGCGCTGTCGTGATGACTAAGTGAACCTTATTTTCATGTATTTCCCATTTCTTTTTCTAAATTTAAAGAAAAAGAAGGATTATGCAGAACATATCATCATTCCAATTAATAGATTCTTAATTAATACATAAAAGAACCGCCGGTGTGATTCTTCCATAAAAACTGACTTCAAAACATTAAGATCGATTTTTGTTTGCTTTGTTGTTCTATCACTCTCGCCAGTCTGTCTCAAATGTTTGCAAAGTCTTTCTTTATTCAACTTTTGGTAGGTCGGATATATTTTTGTTGCGTTTCACTATGATTCCTTTTCTATTCAATTTTGATATTTGAAAGTAGGATGAGATATTCTGAATATTCCGCAATTCATTTATAGCTCCATAATTTTTTTAATTATCGTTTTTCATGAAATTCTTAAAAATGGATCACAAATCTTTTATTAGGTACAAATTTCTTAAAAATATTGTTGCAATCATAATCGTAAATTATTCTTCAGATTTTCTTAAGTTGTTACCATCCTTTAATTTGATCGTTTATATTGTACCATTTTATTTCTGGTTGCAGCAACACCTTAGTAGATGTTATTAAGAAAACAAATGAAATGATGAACTAAATACTCGCTTGTGTACTCACGTATGAACGAAGTAAACAATAATATCTATCTTGCAGAAGCAGAAATCGGGAGAAGAAGAATTTTTCGATGAACTCTTTGCTGTTACCAGCCAGGCAGTAATTCCTTCTATGGCATATTAGATGGAAACTTTATTTGGTAGCGACAACTTTTTCATATTAGGTAGCAACGACTGATGCTCTCATATACATACGCTCACATCTATGGACTTCTTTCTTCAGCAATGAAAAATTTTTGAACGACGAACAATAATCAAATAATTTGTTTAGACAAAACATTTGCGTATATACAAATGTAATCTTATATGTTTATATATATTTGAAGGGTATAATTTGCTTCTTTTAAACATTAAATGAATGATTCTTAAAAAAATATTCATCACCTGATTGGTTGTCTCTCACCTGTAATACAATCAAAGTGTAATAATTGAGAAAGTGTAATTCATCGTTTGTGAAATTTATAATGGTCTTATTTTTTTTATTTTATTCTTATTTGTAATTAACGTGAACGAAAGATGGCAAGGTATTTGATATATGCTAAATGCAAATAACCTTAATTCAGATTTATGCAATTTTCACCAAAGGGTAGAATGAGGCAATCCACATTAGTTTTAACACCAATCTGACAAATTTATCAGAAATTGCATTTATTACTGACACTCAGGTATTCATACTTAATAGAAGCAAATACATTAGCAGAGAGAAAGAAACTTTTAATTTACGCAAGGGGTAATTCATCGCAAAAAATTGGCCAGAAATGTATCTTCAGAATAAAAAGCACCAGCGCTTTTTGAAGCATCATTTAAAGGCAGCTGAAAAAAGCACTATGATGAATTACCCCCCTTCGATTTTGGTAAATTTGCTCAGAAAGAGAAAGAAATTCTCCATTTCGCTAATATTTTATACATTAAATAAACAAGAAAGGCGCCAGCCATGATCCGTGGTGTTAGACTGCTATTTTCGGATACAATTTCCTATTAGAATAATTCGTATGATGATACTTCTTCTCAACGCACCCTATACATATACATTCTCACACACATACTGGCATAAGACAATTCATAATGAGGATTGCAAGACGAATAATTTTTAGTTTGATAGATGTTATAGCTTCTGGTACGATAAATGAAATCACCAAGAGTGAAAAAAAACTTGACGATCAAGAAGTGAAAAATTGTGAAATTTTGTTTACGTTTCAGTGAGAACAGCTTCAGTTTTACCGTGAAGTGAGTGATCTGATTTTGTTTTTCACTCTCTTTATTTATTTGTACATTCTGAAACGATAGGAAACGATGTTTCTGAAGAATTTCTCCAAAGATTGATTCATCGTTGAAAAAATTAGACAGACTGACATCATCTCATGTAATCTACGTCGTTGTTACGTTGCGTTCTCGTGACTGATTGCGAGCAAGTATTCAATCAAGTGCGAGCAAGTGCGTTCCACAAATCGAATAACAAAATTTTTCCAAAGAAAAATTGAAAGCATCCACAAGCATTTGATTTTAATTATCCATGTCACACATCAATAATGAGAAACTAATTTTCTATACGATTTTCGTCATCAACTAAGAATATGACTTTCATTTTAAGTGCTTACTTTTTCACAAACATCAAAAAAAGATATTCATTCTAATGAAGTAGAAAAAAGTAGAACGCATGATGTTACGAGTTATACACACGAAAACAGAACCTGAAAGGGATCGACGATCATCAACAGTTTTATGATAATAAAATTCGACATAATACGTGCGTTCCATGTAAATATATTATTATTTTAAGGTAGACTGCATAGTTACTATAGAAATAGAATGAGAGTTTTCTTTCAATAAGCTTTAATCGTTGTTGATATCTTATCTTAAGTTTATGCATAATTTACAAATTAAAGAATACATTAAATTATTTAAAATCAATATTCAAAAGAGGATGATTAATCTCAAACATCATTCCTTAATATTGTTAATCTGATTCATTGAAAATATCTAATACTGCCTCAAATAATAGACTTTTCCACGTGCTTTGCACACTCAGAAAACTCTTCGTAACAACCAAAAAAAAATATTGTAGCCTCATCAACAGAATTAAAAACACTCTCGTACATGTATTGTATTAAAATGAACGAAAGATCCCGAAAAATATTGTCTGCATTTTTAAACATGATCCTATTTATAGAGTCACTTCATGTACATTCATGAACACTCACCGTTTGGAAATTAAAAGAAGAAAACGCCTGATCATGAACACAAATTTACTTTCTTAAACTTTTTTTTTCTGTCTGTTGTTGTTAATCTTTTCTTTTTTACTTTTCGAAGAACATAGAGCAAATGATGAGTGAAATTTACCAAAAACCTAAAATTACAAAAAAAAAATATGCAACATGGCGGGATTTGTAAAACGGCAAAAATGACATAAACTGAGCATTGGTCATTTTTTGGAACGTTAGTAATAATCTTGTGTTATCACTTCGGAAATCGAAATTCTTGAGACAAGAATATAATCTTTTCATAAAGTATCTACTCCCTAAAAATTTCAATCAATTCCGAAAAAGCGTTCGCATGAAGCAACTTCTTATAAGTAAAATGTAGTATGAATTACTCTACTTGTAGTTTATGAACTATACTGGCAGGTTTTTCATGAACATTAAAAGAAATATCACACTTATATTTTTGCCAAAGAATGTATTCATATTTATGTTTTGTTTTAAAACCTCTCATAAAAGTATGTAAATAATATAATAAATTGAAAATCAATATTTAATTCGGAACTAATTGGCATTTTAAGTGAGGTCAAAAATTCAACAACTTATATTTTCTCAGGTTACAACAATCGCGATCACCGATTAGCTTATTTTGACATTTCTGTGTTTGAGTCTTACATTTGTTATCAGAATTAATAAATTTTCACCGAGTGATTAGATTTAGCGTTAAAAAATCATAAATAAAAAATCGAATCGCATTCACATGGAAAATAACCAAGCTACAAACATTACCTTCCTAAGTTTCCCACGCATAGTGATTTTTAGGCTACATTCTTGATAAATTGTTTCATTTTACCAATTAAAAATTTCCAATTGCATATCAAATTGAATCTGATTACTGCTTTTCTTATCAGCAAAGTAGGAAAAAAATCAAAGGTTTTATTTTTTAAGCAATCATTTGCGATGTAGATGCAAATTTAAACGCAATTAAGGAAATTGGTTTTATATTCAAAGCGAATAATAATTGTGAATTCAATGAGATTTAGTTATATGTATCAGAGTCTAGTTTGCCAATCAAAAATATGTTAAAAATTGTCCAAATTTATTCATTTACATCAATTATTTGTTTATAATCAAATCGTTTAAGACCGACTGGATATAACGAATTTGCCCAAACAGAAATAATAAAATAATAAAAATTGCTGAATAAAATTTGAAAGCCGGAGAGAAGCTTAAAAGTCAGTGAGAAAAATACACATAGGGGCACAAATCGACATCAATGTCACTGTGAATTTATACACATTTTATTCTTCTGTCTTCTTCTTTTTTTATGGCTCACAAATATAATAGATTTTGATAATGTTCTGTGGTTGCACATATGACGATGTAAGATACAATGTCATGACGCATCTCGTAGTATGTTTTTGACCATCTCACACCAATCAGTTTTTCTCCATATCACAATCTGACATTCGTTGACAGAAGGAACTATGCTCAGACCTTACTCAAATTTACTACGACTATATGATTTTCCTGGATCTATAATTTTTGTTTTGAGAAACCCATAGACAGCAAGAATCATGAGCATGAAAATAAATCTATCACCAGGACACGGACTCATCAAATACTTCCCAATTACATACAATGATGTAGAATTGAGCACTCGAGTATAATGAATTTTAACACACAACACAAACTTCGTCTTTGAACAAAGTATGAACAAGAATTCCCACTTTGATATTACCCTTCGAGAAAGAGTTCGCTTTTGTTTCGTTATGGTCTCTTGATCATTTCCATCAACTTTTATGTTTCTACAATTTTTATTTTCTTTTTTTATTTTTTGTGAAGAATAGCTTTCTTGTTGATGGTTGCTTCTACGGAAACTAAGACAGACTTCGGTAGAAGGGAACAGAGAAAAAGTGTGAGAAAAAGATGGAAAAAGGTTTGT